TATTGCTGTCTAGTTTTCCCAGAACTGTTTGTTGAAGAGACTGTTTCCCACTGTATATTCTTGCCTCCTTTGTTGAAGATTGGCCTTATAACAATGGGGTTTTTTCCTGAACTTTCTATCCTGTTCTATTGATCTATGTGTCTGTTTTTGTGCCAGTACCATACTGTCTTGATCACTACAGCTTTGTAATATAACTTGAGATCTGGGACTGTGATACCACCAGCTTTGTTTTTCTTTTTCAAGTTTGCTTTGGGGTCTTTTGGGCTTCTGTACAAATTTTAAAATTATTTGTTCTAGTTCTGTGAAAAATGCTGTTGGTGTTTTGGTAGGGTTTACATTAAATCTGTAGATTGTTTTGGGTAGTATCGACCTTCTAACAGTATTTGTTCTTCCAGTCCATTGTTTATCTTTCCATTTGTGTCATCTTCAATTTCTTTCATCAGTGTTTCATAGTTTTCAGAGTACAGGTCTTTCACTTTCTTGGTTAAGTTTATTCTCTGGTATTTTATTATTATTGGTGCAATTGTAAATGAGACTGTTCTCTTAATTTCTCTTCATGCTGCTTCATTTTTAGTGTATAGAAATGCAATGAATTGGGGTGCCTGGGTGGCTTACTTGGTTTAGTGTCCAACTCTTGGTTTCAGCTTCAGTTGATTTCATGGGTCATGAAATCAAGCCCCCTGTCAGACTCTTTGCTCAGTGGGGAGTCTGCTTGAAGATTCTCTCCCTCTGCCCCTCGCCCCAGTTGTGCCCTCTTTCTCACTCTCTCTCTATTACAAATAAATAAATAAATCTTTTTTTAAAAAGAAACAAAAAAAAGGAAATGCAATAGATTTCTGTAAGTTGATTTTATTTTCTGAGATCTGACTGAATTTGTTTATCAGTTCTAATAGTTTTTTGGTAGTCTTCAGGGTTTTCTTTTTCTTTTTTTCTTTTTTTTTTTAAGATTTTATTTATTTATTTGACAGAGAGAGGGATCAAAAGTAGGCAGAGAGGTAGACAGAAAGAGAGGGAGAAGCAGGCTCCCCTCTGAGCAGAGAGCCTGATGCGGGGCTTGACCCCAGGACCTTGAGATCATGACCCCAGCTGAAGGCAGAGGCTTAACCCACTGAGCCACCCAGGCGCCCCTTCTTCAGAGTTTTCTATATATAGTATCATGTCATCTACAATAGTGAAAGTTTTACATCTTCCTTACCAGTTTGGATGCCTTTTATTCCTTTTTCTTGTCTTAACTGCTGTGGCTAGGACTTCCAGTACTATGTTGAATAAAAATGGTGAGGATGAATTTCCTTGTCTTGTTTCTGATTATAGGGGAAAAGCTCTCCATTCTTTCTGTTGAGGATGATGTTAGCTGTGGGTTTATCACATATGGCTTTTTTCATGTTGCTAACTCCCATAACTTTAAATAAATTTACTATGTGGCAGAGCTAGTATTCTTCATTTGTTTTTGTATTTTTTCATGTGCTAAGATATTTTTGTATTAGTTTTTATGCATCTTTGGGTTTTTATATTCTTTTTAGAGCTCACTCTCTGGTTTTTGGGTGAAACAGTCCCTTATGTACTTAATTGCTTGTATGTGACTTTTCTCAACAGAATAACTCCTATCCTAGAAATACCTCTTTCTGTCCCCTGACTTCTGATTTTGGGTTTTGTTGGAAGGTTTTTTGTTTTGTTTTTTTGACTTCTGATTCTAACGGTAGTTCTATAACCTAGTTGTAAGGGTTCCAGTTTGCAGACCTGGCAAATGGGAAAAATAAGAATAATTTATTATGTGTGTTGCGTATAGGCACACACATGCTGTGTATATGTGTGTATATGTATATATGTTACATATGTGTCTGTATGTTTAAGGTTGCCAACTAGTATTTCTTAAGAAGGATTATTGTTGTGAACTTATGTCTTTAATGACCTTACTTAGCAAAATGAAACAAGGGTTGTCACCTTGTGTCAATCTTCAGAATTGTTTTTGAAATGTACCTGACTTATAAAATCAAAAATATGGGAACCCACTACTTTATCTCACATAATGACTTTCTTGGTGATAATGATGTAGTGTTGCTTTGTCCCCCAGAAAGAATACAATGAAGTCATAGCTTATGGGGGTTAGGTTTTTTAACATCTGTATATAACACAAATGTAACATGTAGTCTGAAATACTTTTACAAATTATTGAGAAAGGGATGGTACCATGTTGGTGACATCTCTCAGCAGGTCCAGCATAACCATTTTTTCCATCAAACACTGGAGCAGATTATTTCTTTTCATGGAAAGAAGATAGAGCAGTTCTTTTTCTTTCTTTTTTTTTTTTTTTTTAAAGATTTATTTATTTGACAGAGAGATAGAGAGCACAAGTAGGCAGAGCGGCAGGCAGAGAGAGGGGGGAGAAAAAGGCTCTCTTCTGAGCAGGGAGCCTGATGTGGGGCTTGATCCCAGGACCCTGGGATCATGACCTGAGCTGAAGGCAGCCGCTTAACCAACTGAGTCATCCATGCACCCAGAGCAGTTTTTAATTTAAGGGCCGTGTTGCACACAACTTACCCATCTTTCACCATTAGAAGAGAGACACACTGAGAATTGAAACTGAGTAAGAGATTCACATCTTTCATCCCATGCTTTCTGGTGGACTCACTCTGGTTCCGTGGTGACATGTTGGTAGGCAGAATCCTTACAGCTTACTACTGTTTTCTCTCTTTCTGAGCATTTCTTCCCCATGGCCCACTCCTATGCTTAAAAAAAAAAAAAAAAAGTCAGGGGTCAAGGGGTGTTAGGGAGATGCTTAGAAAGTATAGTTAAATTCAAGTGAGTATATTTGAATATCTACAATAAGTCTTAAAGATTTAACTAAACACTTGTTTTAGTAGTGCCACAATAATAGTCCTGCTCACTTAAACTACTTATAACAAGCTTATATATAACTTTTAGCCTACGTGTAACATTTATACCTAAGATAGAATGAGTTCTTTGTAAATATTGTAAAGACTTCTTAAACTGTGACGTGAATAGGGGTGCCTGGGTGGCTCAGTCAGTTAAGTGTCTGCCTTCAGCTCAAGTCGTGATCCCAGGGTCCTGGGATCAAGTCCTGTGTGGGGCTCCCTACTCAGCGGGGAATCTGCTTCTCCCTCTCCCTTTGCTGCTCACCCTGCTTGTGCTCTCCTGCTTGCAATCTCTCAAAATCTTTTAAAAAAGTAGGACATGAATAATGGAATGTACCCTAACAGGTTCTTCTTGTTTTGTTGTTGTTTTACTTTATTTTATATATTTATTTATTTAAAGGTTTGCTTATTTATTTGAGAGAGAGAGAAAGAAAAAGAGAAAGAAAGAGTAGGGGTGACAAGCGCAGAGGGAGAGAATCGTCATACTCCCCCCCGACCATGCAGCCCGTCACAGGGCTCAATTCCATGATCCGTGAGATCACGACCTGAGCCAAAAGCAAGAGTCAAACACTTTAAACAACTGAGCCACCCATTCGCCCTTATTTATTTATTTTTTAAGTAGGCTCCATGCCCAGCATGGAGCCCAGTGGAGAGTTTGAACTCACAATGGTAAAATCAACACCTGAGCCAAGATCAGGAGTCGGACATGTAACCAACCGAGCCACCTAGGCACCCTAAATTGTTGTTTTTCTTTTTAAAAAAAATTTTTTTTTAGTTTTCATTTATTTATTTAAGTAATCTACACACAGTATGGATCTGGAACCCATGACCGTGAGATTAAGTCACATGTTCTACTGACTAAACCAGCCGAGCGCCCCTAAAATATTTTTATTTAAAGAGAATATAGACTCGTGAAGTTGCGCATATAATACAGAGAGGTCCCCTTGTACCAATCACCCAGTTTCTCCCAATATCTTACATAGCTGTAGTTACCAAGAATAGGAAATTGACATTGGCACAATACAGTTAACTAGACTTCAGATCTTATTCACGTATACCACGTACTCATGTTTCATGAGTATATATATACTCATGTATACACATGTACTCATGTTTCATTTTCTTTTATGTTTAATGTGTACAATTCTGGGAGTTTAAAAAAATTTATGAGTAGTTTGTACAGAAGAGTTACAGAGATAATACAGAGACTTCCCATATATTTCTCACCCACTCTCTCCCATGATATCTTAGGTTTGTATAGTAGATTTGTTATAGCTAACAAACCAACATTGTTATATTACAATTAATTAAACTCCCATGTTTTATTTAGATTTTACTGGTTTACCCCTAATGCCCTTTTTAGGTACTGAATCTCTTTCAGAATACTGTATCACATTCAGTTTTTATGTCTCCTTGGATTCACCTAGACTGTGACAGTTAATCTTTCTCCTTGTTTTTAATTATCCTTATAAGCTGAGGAATACTGGTCAGTTATTTGTGCAATGTCCCTCAGTTTAGTTTGCCTGTTTTTTTTTTTTTTAAGATTTTATTTATTTATTTGACAAACAGAGATCACAAGTAGGCAGAGAGGAGGAAGCAGGCTCCCTGCTGAGCAGAGAACCTGGTGCGGGGCTCGATCCCAGGACCCTGAGATCATGACCTTAGCCAAAGGCAGAGGCTTTAACCCATTGAGCCACCCAGGCGCCCCTGCCTGTTGTTTTTTTTTTATGGTTAATTTGTATGATATTTTCTCGTGGTTACCTGGGCATGTAGGCTTTTGTGAGAAGACCACAAAGGTGCCATTTTTATCGCAACGTACCAAGGGTACATGGCTATCAACACGATTTATCATGATGTTGTTGCACTTGATTACCTGGCCAAGGTCATGTTGGCCAGGTGTTTCATTATAAAGTTACTTTTTCCCCTCCCTTTCATACTCTACTCTTTGAGAGCAAGTCCCTAAGCACAATTTAACATTCAGAGTGTGGGGGGGGAATTAAATTCAACCTTTTGGAGAGGGGGATTATCTATAGAAATTATTTGGAATTCTTCTGACAGTTATTTTTTTAAGTTTATGGAAACAGCATGAAAACTGATATCAGTCTGACATAAATCTGTTTTTTGCAGGGTGGGAAACCCCGTAAACACCGGAAGGATCGGCTTCAAGATTTAATTGATATAGGTTTTGGCTATGATGAGACAGATCCATTTATTGATAACTCAGAGGCTGTGAGTAATGTATCTTTAATATAGCAGCAATTCTTTGTTTGGGATAGAAGTCAAGGATAAAGTTACCAAAATAGTTCAGTATTTGTTTTTACTAACCAGTCCTTTGTTGATGTACATCTAAATTGTTTCCACTTTTATGTGCTTACAAACAGTTGAGCATCTGTGCACATTTATCTTTGTGTACTTGAGTAAATATGTAAGATTAATTAGAGAGTGCAAATATACGTATAGGATAAATTTCTAGCAGTGAGATTTATTGATCGAGGGTATTTACCTCTTGAATTTTTATTGATATTCCCAAACTTGGGCAGGTGTATTTTCAAATGACTTTTAGATAAGAACCTTATGAACTTGAAGATTAGAGCTACTACGTTGAAGTTAATCTGGCAGACATCTTTAAAATGTATTTCAATTTTGTTGCTGCTGCCAACCCTTTCTGCACTGGTGATGATTGAATGCCAGCCTTTATTACTGTCTGTTTTGATCAAGCCCTACAGCTTTTTCCCTGGAGTCCTCTTTCTCTTACAAAATGAAGAGGAATTTAGGAAAGCGCTTATGGACTGTAGCAGTCCATTGATCACATAGCAAGTGAAAGTAGACGTACTGTGTTTGGGAGTAGGTAAGGTATATGTTCTTACATTCTTCTCAATGCACTAGAATAATCTAAACCCTGGACTTATGGTATCCTCTGCATTGTACAGTGATTTCTTAGAATATACAGAAAGTGACACCAGGGTAAGCATTATAATACTACCCACAAATTAGTATTTCTTTTTCCTGTGACTACACTGCTTGGTTATACAGATGAATACAAGGCATTCAGTGGTAGGAAAGTGATAGGTAGAACTTCCAGCAGGAGGCATCATGGGTACCCTATCATATTCTTGAGTTATTTTAGTGTCCTGACATAAACTGGTTCACCATACCAGACAGCCTGGTCTATAGGAGTAAAATACTGACAATGCTCTTTGGGGTAGAGAAGTCTTGTTACCAGAAAAGTTGACAAACCTTTTTGTAGGTTGAAGGATGGAATGTTTTTGTTTTTTTTTTTTTTAAATATTTTATTTATTTGACAGAGAGATCACAAGTAGGCAGAGAGGCAGGCAGAGAGAGAGAGAGGGAAGCAGGCTCCCTGCCAAGCAGAGAGCCCAATGTGGGGTTCGATCCCAGGATCCTGGGATCATGACCTGAGCCGAAGGCAGAGGCCTTAACCCACTGAGCCACCCAGGTGCCCCGGATGGAATGTTTTTAAGAGTCTTGACCTTGATATGAAACACAAGTCAAAATTAATAGGTTCTAGACTTGACTAGGTTTCTAAAGATTTCTAAGCAGATCTTTTAACATTACCCAATTTTCTCTGCTATGGTCGGAATATTTGAATAAAGTGTTTTTTCAGACTTTTGCAACCCATAATTGGATTATGTATCAATTTATAGAGAGTGTGGCCAGTATTTTTCATGAAAATGAAGTAGACTAGAATAGGAGCTATCATAGCAAATCATAGTAGATTATGTGAGTTTTTTAATATGTATATGTGCATGTGCATGCACTGGGTTTTGATGTGTATTTTCCTCTTGGGTGGTGGTGAAGAAAATTTGAAAGCTACTGCTTTAAAAAATAAGGACAAAGTTAGTAGGTATGAGTTGTTTAAAAATTTTAGAATTAATTGTTGACATTTAGAGGACGAGGTAGTTTCCTGTTTTGTAAGAGGAAATTGAATTAGAATACAGCCTGTTTATTGACTTGCCAAATAATTTTGTATTGTTATCTTTAACAGATTATTGGGTTCTTTTTATGAGATAATTCAGACTGACAATTATAATCCAACCAAATGATTTTCTGTTCTTTTCATTGATTGTATTACCAGTAAGCTTTCACTGTTTGTAATTATTTGATAGAGAGTTAAAATAATCTGGTTCTAATTAATTGTCAGAATCATGCACTACTTCCTGCTATAAATACCTGAAAATAAATGTTTTTGAAGATTATTTTTAGTCTCACTGATATTGCCAGATTCTGTAAAGACTGAAAGAAAATGTTTTTCTTTATTATTTAATAAATTATAATACCAGGCATGAATAACACTTTTATTTAGGTTGTTTCTTTTAAATTTCACTAGAACTTTCTGAAGTAAGTAATGTTGTCACTGTTACACAACCCCAAAGTATTGATGTTAAATGATTTCCTCTGGGTCACAATTGCCTTTCATAGCCAAAGGATCTAAATCCAGGCCTTCTGATTTTCAAGTTCAGTATTCCATTGCCTCTTAACGCATTCTACTTAAAGGGCTAAATTAAATATGCATAAAGAGCTTGTTCTCCTGAAGAGTGTTCCGATAGGGGAAGCTTAGTAAAACACTGCAGCATACAGATATGGACAACACCATGTTGCCCTTTAATGTAGTGATGAATGTGTTTCCTGTCAGAAAAGCTGCTTGATATAGTGGATAGTTTGAAATACAGCCAGAGCCTCTTCTATAAGCTTTAAAAAATTATTCTGTCAAGGTTCTTAACCTCTAAATTTGGTTTTCACTTATAAAATGGGAATAATACTTGTCTTTTTTTGCCTCAAAGGTATCAGGAAGACCAAGTGAAATAATTTATATGAAGAAGCATTGTAAATTATAAAGCAGTGTAAGCGAAAAGTATAGATATGTTTGTCGCAATTATACATTTCCAGAAAATAATTACTACAGAGTCATTTCACTTTTAATTCTCTACTCTTCACATCACTTTTTTGCTTACAGATAGTACTGGACTCTTTCTGAAGGTTTTACCCGTAGATCTTTATAGTAGCCCATCAAATGAAGCAACAAGAAAGCACTTCATTCCTTTTTCCCCCCTGCTTCATTTCTCTTTGATTCAATGTGATTAAACTAGAAATTCTTTCTTTTTCTATTCACTATTTAATTGAAAAGGATACAAGTTAAAAGCAAAATTTTTGTACTTAGCCTTAGGATTCTTAGAGTAACTAGTACATGCTCTATATTCCTTGTCCATGGCAAAGGATTCTCCTTAAAAATCTGACTTTCTTAAAAATACAAAATATGAAGAGACTGTAAGTAGAGTTTTGGGGACCTTAGGTAGCAGGTATGTAGCTCTGTTAGATAAGTAGTTCCTTTTTTCTGGTTGAGAAAGCAGTTTCTCAACCAGAAAAAAGGAACTACTTATCTAGGACTCCATTATTTGGTGAAGATTGACCTTCATTTAATGTTTGCTTTTGTCCATTTTCATCAGGTGAGAAGTGATAAACTTTAAAATCCAAGCTTAGAGGACATCAGCTTAAGTGATATTTTAGGTCAAACCTTCAGTCTAGTTTAGGTAATTTTCATCTCTTGCTCAAGCCAAGTACCTGGCTCTTCACAATGTATGCTTAATGAACTGGCCAGTTAGTTTTCTCCTCCTTTTTTAAACACATACTCTGCTGTTTTTATTTTAAAAATTTCCACCTAATACCTTAGAGCTAAGACACAAGAAGTAACTTTGTTATTCTTTAAAATCTTCTTATGAATAAAATTATATACTGATATGTTGGGAGATGAAATTTATTCTTTGCCTGAATGTTTAATCATCTGTTTTAACTTGTTTGAATTTCTCATCACAATCATTTGTTCTTGGGGTGCCTCGCTGGCTCGGCTGGTAGAGCATGTGACCCTTAATCTCTGGGTTGTGAGTTTGAGCCCCATTTTGGGTGTAGAGCTCACTTAAAAAATACATAAGTAGGGTGCCTGGGTGGCTCAGTGGGTTAAGCCTCTGCCTTCGGCTCAGGTCATGATCTCAGGGTTCTGGGATCAAGCCCCGCGTTGGGCTCTCTGCTCAGCAGGGAGCCTGCTTCCCGCTCTCTCTCTCTGCCTGCCTCTCTGCCGACTTGTGATCTCTCTCTCTGTCAAATAAATAAAATCTTTTAAAAATATATATAAATAAAGATTTATAAAACAAAAAAAGAATCATTTATCATTAAGAATAGTAGTAGTGATCTTTAAATTTTTCTCAGCAGATGATAGAATTTGTGTTGTTATTCCAGAATTTCCATTATTTGTAAATACTGAGTAATCCAGGCTCATTTTTATCTCAGATACTAACTTTTTCTCAATTTATTCCACAAACATCCTCATTGTATTCAGTTTTGTAGTTAGGATTTAAGGAAGGTGCTGACATAGTGATTGATTCTTTGATACATTTATAGAATTAATTAATAGGATGTATCTGAGACATTTTTTTTTTTAATACAGTATGACGAGTTAGTTCCTGCTTCTCTAACGACAAAGTATGGAGGCTTTTACATCAACACTGGCACACTGCAGTTTCGCCAAGCTTCAGATACTGAAGAAGAAGATATTACAGACAACCAGAAGCACAAGCCACCCAAAGTAAGTTTATCCAGCATTGCAGTAGTAATGAGTGTTCGGTTAATAGGGTGTACTTTTTTATTTACTTGTGAATATAAGGAAAAATAAAATGCTAACCATTGTTTAATGAAATCTGTAGTTATTTACATGCTTTAAGGTAAAATTATGTAGATAAGGGGAAATTGATACTTACATAATAGGAAAATTGTATTCTTTTAAAACTTCTCTCTCCATATGTGGTCTTATAATCTGCTGTTTGGGGGGTAAGAGTAAGTTTCTAGGATAAGTTAAGACTCGGTATAGAAATGATGAAAAGCAAAAACAAAAAAAATAAATGGTGAAAAGCTATTACCTTTTCTAAGATGTATTTTATAAAGCTAATTGTATGGAATGTATACATTGTTATAGGAAATGAAGAGTGTCCTTAGTTAAGTGTTTGTTTGTTTGTTTTTAAAGATTTTATTTATTTATTTGACAGAGATCACAAGTAGGCAGAGAGGCAGGCAGAGAGAGAGGAGGAAGCAGGCTCCCTGCTGAGCAGAGAGCCCGATGTGGGTCTCAATCCCAGGACCCTGGGATCATGATCCGAGCCGAAGGCAGAGGCTTTAACCCACTTAGCCACCCAGGCGCCCCTAGTTAAGTGTTTCTTGAAGTGTGATCAAAGGACTTACTTGTACCAGAATTACCAGAATGTTTGTTAAAAACCATGCAGTGCTCATATACCCCAAGAATCTGCATTAATTACAAGCACTCCTAATGTACACTGAACTTTGAGAGAAAACTACCCTGGATGCTATATTGATACCATCAAAGAGTAAAGTATTGATACTCAGATAAGTGATACATTCTTCTATCATTTGAAGATTCCCAAAATAAAAGAAGATGACATTGAAATGAAGAAGCGGAAGCGGAAAGAGGAAGGGGAAAAGGAGAAGAAGCCAAGGAAAAAAGTACCCAAACAATTGGGGTATGTAAAATTAAACATCATAGGGTCATAGATGACCAGCTGCCCTTTTAGAAAGATATATTTAGCATTAATTCATTCAGCTTTGCTGGGTCTAATTTAATACTCTATTTATAAATGTCAATGACTATTAACTTATATTTAATAATATTTATATGTATTTGGTATAAGTATTAGTAAGTAGAAAGTTTTATCTTCTTAGGTTTTGGGGGTTTTTTTGCAAATGTATTCTTTACTAAATTTTACTAGTGTTCTTTAAGGGGAAACACACAGACAAGTACATTGAAGAAATCTTATTTTTATAAGAGATTTAAGAAGCCTTTAAGATATTTCCAGGTATTAAAAAAAAAAAGATATTTCCAGGTATTATCTTCAGTGATGCTTCTTATCTTTATTCTTGGAGTCCAGGTAATATTCAGCTCCTATAGCTACCACAAATGCAGCAAATCCCCATTTGAATTCTTTTAATAATGCACCAACAAAGGAAACATTGTTTGCAAAAGCACGGGTGTATCTCCAAGCTTCATTGCAGCCCCATGGGTCCTTGCAGCCAGCTTCTCCTGGACAGTTTCTAATGGTTTTCCTTCTGTCTTGCATTGTTTATAATCTGGAAGTTCCGGTTTGCTATGGCCATGTTCCTGCCCATGTCTGTGGGCCATGTCTGACAGCAGTCGGACCTCTCACAACACTCAATATTCAATCTGTCATCTTCGATTTTAATTAATTAATATTTATTTATTGATAAGTAGAAGGGTTTATCATTTTAGAGACTCACGTTGCTTTAGATCAGATTTACACATTCATTTATTATTTTACTCATTATAACTTTTTACCAAAAAGAATCAGTTTGAAAAGATGGTATAAGCCTTAAACAGTTGTTTTGAACTTTCTGTGCTAAAACTAAGCTGATTAGATAGATGCCTGGGGATTGAGGATTGGCAGTCGTCTTTGTGTGAACAATTTATAGTTGTTTTACTATTTAAAAAGGCATTTGTTTAGTTCTTCATGCTTATAATTTGAGGTAATGACATTATCTCTAAATATCAAGTAGAATTTCTTAAAAAGACTTAAGTCATAAGAATAAAATGTTTATACTGTGCATTCATAAAATTACCATTTGCTCTTGCTTCTCTCTGACTTTTTTTGGAGAACTAAAGGACAGAAACTAAGAGAGGCTGGATTTTCTAACCCTCTTTGCCAGGGGAGGTGCATCTGCATTTTGGCCTATCAGTATTCAAAAGATTGATGTAGGGAGGTATTTATCCTCCTGTAAACATGAGATTTTAGTGACCTTGGAGTCATTAAGTAATTAAGAAAAAACATATAGATTACTAGTGAATATATTAAAAGGTCATTATTTACAAGTAAACTTCTTTGGGAACAAAATCTATAATGCCTTTTATTGAATTTGTCATTTTCTCAAATTCATAACTTATTCATGCAGCAAATCTTTATTAAGTACCTGTTGTATACCAGGTATTGTTGTATTTGTATTTGGAGTATATGTATTTGGACTATGTAACAGTTAATGAAACGTGGGCTTGCCTTGAAAGTACAAATCATCTTTTTGATTCTGTAGTGCATATAGAAGCATATAAGCCATAGAATGTAGGAAAGATTTCTAGAGAGAGTGGTAACTAAACTGAAACCACCTTTTTCCCCATGGTTTCTGTAGGGAGAACATTGTCACAGAAAATTACACGTATATGATTGCCTCACATGGCTGTTCCCAGAATGGAAAGTGAAAGTGATCAGAACTGTAGCAGCAGATAGAATAGGGTCTAGAAAGATTTTGCGTTTCTTTGGCAGCTTGTAGCACAAACCACCTGGAGTATCAGTTTGAAGTTGTACTTGTGTGAGCTTCTCTGGTGGTAAGGCAACTCTGTTTTCAGCGAAAGTGCATTTCTTTACTTGGTTTATTTCTTAGGCAACCACTTTATAGAAGTGCTTAAGGATGTGAACATTCCAAAAACAGTAGTAAGTTTAACTTCATATTCTCTAATAAACATGAGCTACATTCTGTTTTGTTTCTGTTAACTTTAGTCCATTCATTTTCTTCACTCTGATGACCATTTACCTATCGACCTTTCCTCAGCACAGTCCATCCAGATGATGAGAAAGATGCTGTGATAAAAGGATAATTTAATAAGAAATTTGCTCTCCCACATATCAAATGATTGTTTTGATGATCTATGCCTGCTTATTTACATGGGACTTTCAACTTTAAAATTATACATAGCCTAATGGATGACCTTTTTCTTCACAGAGTTGTGGCTCTAAATTCCCACAAGTCTGAAAAAAAGAAGAAACGTTATAAAGATTCTCTTTCTCTAGCTGCCATGATACGAAAATTTCAGAAAGAGAAGGATGCATTAAAGAAGGAGCCTAACCCCAAAGTCCCAGTGAACTTAACAACCTCCTCTCTGAATAAACCCCCCTCCACTGCTGTAGCATTGGGAAATGACGTCTCGGACTTAAATCTGAACAGTGCTGATCCGGACCTCCCTATTTTTGTTGGCACAAACGAACATGAACTGTTTCAGGAAGCTGAAAATGCCCTAGAGATGCTAGATGATTTCGACTTTGACAGATTACTGGATGCTGCTTCTGATGGTAGCCCCCTCTCCGAGTCAGGGGGAGAGAATGGAAACACCACCCAGCCAACCTATGCCTCTCAGGTTATGCCCAAGGTGGTGCCTACACTCCCAGAGGGTCTACCTGCTCTTCTTGAAAAACGCATTGACGACCTCCGTGTAGTAAGTGTAATAATTCCCTTGTTTCTTATTTGCCACATAAACTTAACAATAAATGCTTTCTATAAGACAAAAGTAATAACTCACAATCCCAGCACCCGTATAAACAACTTACGATTTTCTATATTTCCTTTTAGGCATTGGCTGTATGCATAGGCCTTAGATTTGAAGTAGGAATAGTTACAGCAACATATATGGGTGATTGTTTTATTATTTTATTTCATCTTATAAATTTTTTAAAAGATTTATTTTAGAAAGAGTGAGAGGATGCTTGCAGAAGTGAGTGTGAGGGGGAAGGAGCAGAGGAAGAGGGAGAATCCTCAAACAGATTCCCCACTGACCGCAGAGCCTAAAGTGGATCTTGATCCCAGTACCCTGGGATCATGACCTGAGCTGAAATCAAGAGTCGGACACTTAAAGGACTGAGCCACCCAGGTGCCCCTTATCTTATAAATATTTTTCAGCATAGCTTTCATAAGTTACAATTTTTATTGTAAAAAAAAGTCACATAAAGACAATAGAGGGAAGGGAGGAGCAAATAGTAACATTACAAAAGCATACCTGAACTTGGTCCAAGCTATCAACATCTAGTTATTTTTTAATTGATTTTTCCAGCTAATCACATTTAGTAAGCATGCATTGTGTTCCCATTAGGCCAAACTTGAGAGCTGAACTTTAGCATGTCACACTAGATACCTCTGTAGATTGACTTGGGTTCATAATCTTTGTTTGACTAGCTGCAGATCCAGGTAAGTGTCATCACACTTCATTTAATCTCAGGGAGATAGTATTTTAACTTAAAATAACATGCCAGTGGGTGCCCTGGGTGGCTCAGGTTCAGCTCAGGTTCCTGGGATCATTCCCCACAAGCAGGCTTCCTGCTCAGCAGGGAGTCTGCTTCTCCCTTTCCCTCTGTCCCTCCCCCTGCTTATGCTCGCTTCCTTGCTCTCAAATAAATAAAATATTAAAAATAATAATAACATGCCAAACCTAGCTTAAAAGGCCCTTCTTGATTACTTTAGCATCTTTTTTTGAACCCATGCCATATTTTAGTCCTCATTTTTTTCTTGACTACGAAAGTAAATTGCACAGTATTAAGTGTATTTTCATATATAGGGAAAGATCCCCCATAATCTGACATTCCCCACTCCCAGCGGAAATAACCACTATTAAATAATTTATTTTTCTGGATTTTAATCCATTCATTTGCAAATGTTATAGTATTATAAAAAATAACTAATGGGATGGTAATGTATGGACTATACAGCTTGCTTCTTTCTCATGGGATTGTAGTAACCCAACTTAAGTCACATTTTAAAATTTACTAATCATCTTTATATTGTATTTATTTTTCATAACTTTTCCTGAAATTTAAATACCTGATTATGAGAATATTAGATTTATCTAATTTTTCTAGTAACTGGCCTACAGATTTTATTTAGTAATTCTATTATTTTTTTCCAAATTTTTTATTCTTTAGCATTTCTTCTGAAGTTGTGACTTAATTTTGGCTCACCTGTATTTTTACTTATTTTAATGTATTTCATGTTGGCTCCATGGTCAAAGGAGCGAGACTGATACAAAGCGAAGGTCAAGCAAAGCTTTTTTTCCGTGCCAAGCATCGAGAAACAAACTGACCGGCCAGGGCCGTCTCTTGCAAAGAGGCTACCTCTCTCTTCTTTGCAGACTAGCTTTTAAGGGCAAAGGCCATGTGGTTGGGCCTGGCCACACACAGGTGACCAGTGAGATTGTAACACAGAGAAAGCTGCACAGTCCTGCTAGGTCACACATAAGTGACCAATTGAATTACAGTTTACCCTATAGTAGATATTTGAACTAGCCTATGACCTTGGTCAGAGTTGGTGCCCAAAGGGCACCCAAAGGGCGGGGCCCACACTCCTTTGTAGCTAGGGAGACAGTATGCACCCCACCGACTGCATACCTCCACCTGACCTGACCCACGCTTGTATTTGGGCTTTGTTACCAGGGACTGGTTTCCGGAACTTGTTTTTAAGTAAGTTCCCTGAAGGGGGTGGGGGCAGGGTCAGGACGGAGCTGCTCTGGCTAAATAGGCCCTTGCATTTCATTAGTATGGAATTTAGAGAAGTGTGTTAAAATATCTCATGGCCAGTATTTCTTAGGTTATAAATTGTGTTTACCATCATTTTTCCTTCATTTACATGCTGTGTTGTTTGACCCATAAAATTCTTGATGGCTAGATCTTCTTTGTGGTGATTATCATTTGAAGGTGACTTTTTGTGCTGTTACTGCTTTTTACCTTGAATTTAGTTTTGTCTGACTTACTGTAGACTGTTTTCTTTTTATTTCTACATGGTAGTTTTTCTCATCATTTACCGTCAACCTCTTTGATTTTATTTTAGCTCTTTTTCTTATAGACAGTGTTTAATTTCTTTATTGGCCTCATCTGAGTCCTTTCTCTTTTAACAAATTATTTTATTTTTTTACAGTTGTTATAATTATATAATTGATCTTTGTCATTTTCTTTTTTATCTTGTTACTCATCTCTTGTTTTCATTGTTTTGCTATTTTCTGTGCTTATTTTTTGAAAAGTATACAGTCTGTAGATTCGGTAGTAAGCAGGTTTTTATTTAATCTTCTCAGCTACTCTGCATAGGAAATATAAGTATTATTTCCTTTTTGTGGTTAAGAAACTTGAGGTAGGTTAAATAGCTTGATCACGTCTATGCAACTAGTAAGTTATGGAGCCAGATTTTCGCCACAAGGGTTCACCTATCTCCAAAGTATATGCTTCTTGCTTTCCCATGTTGCCTATCTCTAAAACCTTTAGTTTCTTATAGGTTTTAAAAAGTGTTAGTGATGTGATCCACATTTTGCAAGATATTATTAATAATAATAGCTCTTGGGGTGCCTGGGTGGCTCAGATGATTCAACCTCTACCTTCAGCTCAGGTTATGATCTCCAGGTCCTGGGATCAAGTCCCATATCAGGCTTCCAACTCATTGGGGAGCCTGCAACTCCCTCTCCCTCTCTCTCTGCCTTTCCCCCTGCTTGTGCTCTCTCTGTCTCTCTCTCAAATGAACAAATACAGTCTTTAAAAAAAAAATAGCTCTTGTTTATTTAGCAGAAACCTGTACTCTGTATTGAATGCAGTGTTTCTGTGTCTCACATAGCATTTACCATTCGGGGGACAGTACCCTGATTGGGTTTAGTGTGCTTTACCTACTGTGCAGTCTGATCCTCCAACAGTCACGTGAAGTAGGTAGTGATCTTCCATTTAATAGATGAGGAAACTAAGATTCAAAAGGTGAAGGGATTTGCCCAAGGCCACATAATTTTTAAATGGCTGAGCTGTGATTTAAGGTCAGCATTTAAAGGCAGGACTGTGGAGTTCCATTGTAGGCACTCTGTCTGCTATGTTATATGCCATTCATTTTTACTTACTAAGCAAAATTGATTAGTAATGAGTGTGTTATAGTCTTGTAAAAGCTTTGTCATATCTTATATACCAGAACGTATTTCTCTTTCTCTCTCTCTTGATAGCCCTGCCAGGGTTAATACAGGTGCTCCCTGACTCCTTGGTAGGAAATCATCAGTAAGAAGTTTGATTTCACTTACGGGTATCTATGACTTCTCTTTATGTTTTATTTGAAATATGAGAATGGTATTTTTTTCTTTAGGAGGTGAGAAGTCATCCTTAGCTTAAATGCTTATGTTTGTGTGAGAAGGAATTGCTTCTTGTGGCTCTTTTCTTACTTTGTAATATTCTTCCACTCTTCAACCTCTTGACTTTTTATTATTTTTCTTGAAGTTTAGTTTCCCTCTGCCTTTCATATATTTCCACCTCCTACACATACCCAGTTTTCATGCTAAGAAGTACTGAAGCACATCTTAGAAATTTTCTTCTACTTATTGCATGTAAAGTCAAGTAACTTGGTGTGATGGCTGAGTCAGCATATGGCTTGCTCAGATTATTAGATCAGGCTTCTTGGTGTTTTATACCTCATGGACCTCAACTACATGGTTTGTGATTTTCCCAGTGTATTTTCCTTCTGGTAGGGTTTGCTGATAACTTGGTTTCTGGTCACCTGGTTGAGGTGACAAACATAACGATGAAATTAATCTCATTGTACTAATTTTTGCTTATCCCTTGATAACTACCTTGCCTACGTTTTTTGGTTATAAGTAATTAGGTGGAACCTAAACAGGCTGCAGGAAGCCAGGTGTCTTTGTACAGGGTGACGGTGTTGTGCAGTCAAAGTCAGAAAGCTTGTGTCTGAGTCCCAGATCCACCACTTACTAGTAGTGTGATTTGGGGGCATGTCATGTAACCTCTGACAGATTTAGCTTCCTTGTTTGTAAGTGGGGGCAGTCATGCCAATGTCATTGGCTGTTATGAGGTTTAAACATGGTAATGAATATAACATGTAGAATATCAGGTAGATACTTTGTAGACACTCAATAGAAAGTGAGACATCTGCTTGTTGTTATCCTGGAGATCACAGCAATAATTAATAAACCTGTGGATGGTCAAGTACACAAGATCCCCAAAGCACTAAGAAGTCTTGTATGTATAATTTTGTTAATTTAGTTGGGATTAAGAAAAATTAAATACAGAGGTAATAGGAAACATTGGCATATATGCTAAATTTGTTACACTCTAATTTCCTACTCATGCCATGTACTAAGCTGGGTATGGAGGATACAAAGTGAAGTAAATCACAGTAGCCCCACCCTCAAGAAGCTTATCCTTTAGTAAATAAATATGGAAACAATGTGTTTATTGAAAGTGATTGGCAGGGCACCTGGGTGGCTCAGTTCCTTAAAGGTCTGCCTTTGGCTCAGGTCATGATCTTAGGGTGTTGGGATGAGCCCCACAGGGGTCTCTGGCTTTCCCTCTGCCTGCCACTCCCCTTGCTTGTATGTGCACACTCTCTCTGTCAAATAAATAAGTAAAATCTTAAAAAAAAAAAAAAAGCGATATTGACAATCTTATGTTTCTCTAGGCTGCCAAACTTTTTGATGAAGAAGGAAGGAAAAAATTCTTTACACAGGATATGAATAATATTCTTCTGGAGTAAGTAATTCTCTTCTTTAATTAAAAAGCCTAAAAGTTATTTATACTTTAAGAATGCATTTAAACATACAGTTGGTTACAGCTTTACAGGTTGAATATTACTTTAGATTTAAATGTATTTTTTTGTCACTTTGTATGAAAATGTCTTTCTGGAACAGCTCTGAGTATTCTTATTAAATTTGGTATAATTTTCCTTCTATTTTCATTCGGTCTTGAGAAGAATAATTCCATTGGCATCTAGCAAAATTAATTCATACAAACATTTTTATAGCCAAATGGAAAGAAAGTATGGTTTAATGAAGAAATTTCTGGTTGTGAGGTAGGAGAGAGGCAGTGTGGAGAAAACAAAAGAGAGAATGGAAAGGGGAGGCTGAAGGCTGAAATAGGATACAGATTGTATTTAAATTAGTGACAGTTTTTCCTCTTACCTGGTGTTTGATGCTAAGGAAGTTGCAGGTTCTAAGATTGTGGTCCCCTAAGCTGTCCTTGTAAACCTATTGGCTTTTAAATTTTGACCATTGGTTTTAGAAGTGGAGTGTATAATTGGCTGCAAGCAGAACTGGGTAAAAAAGGCAATCCTGGAGAAAGCAGCAGATTTTACTCCTCTCATGAAAATAATGTGTGCCTGCTCTTGGTGGTTCGATAGTATTATATACGAAGAAACAAGCAGTGTTTCCAATACTGTGTGTTGAGTCCTGTCTTTTAAATATATGTTGAAGGTAGTTTCTCATAAAACACAAAGAATGATGAATTGGTTTGCTTTGATAACTATTTTCTTTTTTGTTTGTTTGTTTGTTTTTTCCCTCTCCCCTTTGATTATTGTTTGAATTGAGTGCAATCTCTCTTTCTCCAGAGTACTTAAAAAATCTTTTTGGTCCCCTGCAGACCCATGAAACATATAACCTAGTATGCTACTGGTTTGGTGACAGAGGAATTTCTTATTCCTATTCTTTATTTTAGCCAGAGATTTTCAGATTGATTCTGTCTGCCCGGAAGCAAGGCAAATGCTTCCTGCCTGCGCCAGCTACTTTACACCCCAGAGTCAATAAACAGTATAACCATTACTCACCAGAGCTGTCCCAGATTCCCTAATCAGGAATCTGACTGGCTGCTTTTTCTTTCTACCGGGAGAGCCCTAAGTTTACTGGATCAGGTCCTTTTCCTATGATTAAGACAGTGCTTTTTTATTTTACTCTTTTGTAAGAGGGACTGACTTTTCTCCCCTGAGAGAAAGGAAGGACCATCCTTGGGACATAACATCTCAGATAAGCAGAATATCAGCATTCCACTAACAGGCTTCTTTCTTTCTTTTTTTCCTTCTTCTTCTTCTTCTTCTTTTTTTTTTTTTTTAAGTAATCTCCACACCCAGCAAGAGTGTTGAACTCATGACCCTCAAATCAAGAGTCACCTGCTCTACTTACTGAGCTGGCCAGTTGCCCCTCCTGCCCTCTAAAAACTGTTTTTATTTTAAAATTTACTTTATTTTAAAGTAGGCTCCATGCCCAGTGTGAGGCTTGGACTCATGACCCTGAGATCAAGAGTTGGATGTTCTTCCAACTGAGCCAACCAGGCATCCCCCTGCCCCCAACAGACTTCCCTTAATCTTCCCTATGTCTATCTTAAAGCCTCGAGTTTTGTTAGAGCCTGTCTATTTGTCATTTCACAGAGTGTGCCTCCAGTACTATAAAGCTGTAGTGTTCAGAGTTTAATGTTTTCCATTTTAATCACTTATTTATGCCCTTAGCCTCCATTTCCACTTTCCTAAACAAATATCCCTTGTTTCTCTAGACTGAGAGCACACGGTACATGATTATTTTGGGAAGTAAATTCTTATGAAATTATCCAGGTGTATTGGCTCTGCCTCACCACTGCTTCATTATGCTGGGCAGAAAGGGGTGAATTTGTTGGAATAGGAACACTTTCTTTTTTTGCTTAATTGATTTTGACTTGGATCAGCAAATATACAACTTGCCAGCTTAATCTCTTTCCCTGTTTCCTCCTTTATCTCAAGCATACATTGCTAATAAAATCTTGATACTCTTTGCCTGTGATCCCAATCCAACCTGAGTTGTGTTTAACAGATACTCTAAAGTTGTTTAGGGTCAGGAGGAATTCACATCCCTCTTGTGTATTATCAATCAACAGGCTTTTGAATTCTTGCTATAAAATAAGAACTATTTTGGATTTTGTATTTAGGTTACTGCTCCCTAAGTCCTCAGTTACTGGTTTTCAGTGGTTCTGTTATGTATAGGACAGTGTTGGTAAGATACATGGAACACTAGAGGAATAATTCAGGAAATTAAGTAGGTTCCAGAATTCACTTGGAGTTAGTCGGCTTTTCTTTTGCTAGTATTTTTAAACTGATTGAATGAGATATATATTCTGGGTTTCTTTTTAAGACTTTGTATATTTATTTGAGAGACAAGGCATGACTGGGGGTGGGAGGACAGAGGAAGAGAGAGAAGCAGACTCCCCACTGAGCAGGGAGCCTGACGTGGGGCTGTAGCCCAGGATCCCGAGATCATGACCTGAGCCGAAGGCAGACAATCAACTGAGTCACCCAGGAGCCCCTATATTCTGTTTTTTAAAAAGAGGGAGAAGGGTGCCTGGTTGGCTCAGTTGGTAGAGCATGTGACTTTTGATCTCAGTGTCATGAGTTCAGGCCCCACGTTGGGTGTAGAGCTTACTTAAAAATATAATAATAAAAAGAGGGTTAATAGGTAAAAAAAAAAATTAAATTAAATTAAAAAAAAGGTTGATAGGCTAGGAAGATAGTCATATATCAACTATGGGGAAATGACTGTTTCTAGAATTCTGTGTGAAAATACAGATAAGACTAAGTATTCCTGAGCCAGAAGAATCTTGTTTATAAAGTTGACCATTGCTTGAGCTAAGGATTCCTGTGCTGCATTTCTTGGAGGCTTCTTCAGAGGCAAGTGAGAGCCTTGTAAAGACAGATACACAAGTGGGTTTCACATACCTGTTTGTGGGTTACTCACAAAACCCAGTGTTTGTCCTCTAATGCATTGTCAGCAGATGATCCCAGTATATTTTTATCTGTTTAGAACGTGTAGCGATCATGTGTTCATAATTTATTATCAGAGGTTTGAGACCCATCCGTCATAACTTCCATGCATGGGTATCTGCTTTGGGGATAGACTTCACTTAAAGAAGTGAAAGAACCTGGTAGATAGAAGGAGACAGGCTCAGGGAAAGTTTGTTGCTTTAGGGGAAGCTTCATTTTTTTGAAATGTGAAAATTACTGAAATTCAGACTTTTCATTACCATGTGTTTTAGGTACTTCTTAGACCTTAGAAGATTGGAATTCTTAGTGAGAAAAAAAAAAAAATTAAATGTGTGAGGGATGTGTGCTAAAAATATACTGCTCTCAGGTAGGAATTTGTATATAGTTGTGATAGACCAATTTGTTGGTAACCTTCAGAGATAATATGTTTCTCTAATTTTTACCTGGTATTGGCATAGGAGCAGGGAGTCAGCTCTTTGTGTTTTTGTTTCCCCTCTCTTTGGAAACCACCAATTTTTATAAGTGTGTATTGAGTCACTCTGTTCTTACTTAGAATCTCTTATTACTTGGAGTTCCTATTTTATTTTCAGCCTTAATTAATCTTTAATAATGGGGCAAGCCTAGAAAGCCTCCTACCAGACTCTAGACTTTTAGTAAAGATCCCCCCTTAATGTTATTTAAACCAAATGTTTATATACAGAATTCATGACCATAGTGATTGTTTCCCATATGATCCTCTGCATTTGACCTTTTGGTTCTTATAGATTCTAAACATGTTTCCATTCATCTATGTGTTTGACTTCTCTAATACCAAGAATTTTTATTGCCAGTGCTAAGAGCATAGTTCTCCACATTTTGTTGTTTCTGAAATTGCAGTGTATCTTGTAAGTGATGGATATACTTGATATGGGAGGGCTTCTTTCCTTCCCCAGATGCTGTTAATTGACTCTTTGGATTCATCTTACATTTGTGAAAATTATTTATCAAATATATCTGCACCTTCTCCTATAATAGAATGTGATGATTTGGACATAGTTTTTGCCAAGAGCCCCAGTTTGGTCTTGGCCTTCAAATTAAAATGTGTTCCTGCCTTCCTGCAATAGCAGCTGCCGGATAGATACAGTGTCTTTCATCTTAGTAGAAACCTCAATTATTGATTAGTAGACTTGTCCTGCTGAGAATATGGTGGCTGTTAAAACTCTTCTCCTTTTCTTATTTTTTATTTTTTAATAACTATTACATTAAATACCCATTTAACAATTTATTTTTGGTCTAAAAAACGAATTTACAAATGGAAACAGGAAATGAAGAATTGGAATAAATTGAACAAACTACTAAATATCTAGCTTATGCAGTGCAGGCATAATGGAGGAGACAAAGATAGATGAAAAACAGTCTGTATGTGTATCCCGAAGGGCTTCACTTCTCCCGAATCTGAATTTTTTTTAAACACCTGTAAGGAAAAAATACTCTAAATTCATCAAAACTATGTAACTCTCTAGCGTAGCAATTGCAGTGGGGGAGAGAGCATATGAATATCTATCTGAGGGAATGAGCTTTTGGTTAATTGAGTTCCTGTGCTTTATCCCAAAATGTAGACTTTACCCCTGTTCATCAAAAAATTATTCACCAGTTTATTGTTGTATAAATTCTTTCTATATTTTCTCCTTGAAAAATACTGTGTAGGAAATCATGGAAAGATAAAACAAGAGAAGAGTTACTGCCTTTGTCTCCTTGCTTGTGTCAGTGCCTGAAGGAAATTCTGTACTATTTATTTGTCATTGTTTTTGTTCAGCATCGAGTTACAGCTACAGGAACTAGGCCCTGTCATCCGTAGTAGTGTCTACTCCCATCTTGAAGCTTTTGTGCCATGCAATAAAGAAACACTGGTAAAACGTCTAAAGAAGTTACATCTCAACGTCCAGGTAAGACGAGGAATAATAATATCCATATCTGAGGTTTTATAACCTATAAAGAGACTGGTTTCTTTTGGGGGCTTTTGTGTATTAGGTGCTTTATAGTCTTATTGTACATATGGAATAACTATAGGAGTTGTCAAAGGTATATTGGATCTCTTGAAAAAACTTACTTTTTAACAGTTGATAAGTCTAGATGAGAATGTTTTCTAAGGCATAGATTCTTGGACTGGTAAAATAACTTCAGTTCCACAGCTGATACAGTTTTGCCCTCAAGAAATATGTGACAGATTTAGAACTCCGTTTTTTCATTACTGAGCTGGATCTATGCAGATATGTTCACACCTACTTTACACAAACCAATGGAAAGAATCCCAGGGTAAACTTAGAGATTTTTTGGTGTAATCATCCATGTTTTGCTAGATTGTTCTCCCCTACAACCCCACTAGGTAATTGTCTAAGTTTGAATGCTTCCAGTGGTCAGAAACATATTTCATTGTAATATCAGAAAATTCTTCCATGCACTGAGACAAATCCAGGTGCTTTCCACCCCATTGGTCCTAATTCTACCTTTGAGTCTATTCATAAATCTAATTGTCACCTTCACAGCTTTCATGTTTTTGAAAGCTTGTATTCTATCCCCTTCTTCACTTCATGTAAAATGGTTTTTAGTATCTTCATTGCCCTGATTACTCTTCCCTTAATGATTTATTTGATTATATATTTTAAAAATATTTATAACTTGCAAGTAAAGGAAAAGAACTTAAATGTAATTTAAGACCAAAAATGACATTTTTTTCTATTAATAAAGGTATTTCATGGAATTAAAAATACAGCCAGGAAGGGATGGGAACTAATAATTTAGATTAACTCTTATTTCTCTCTACCCATCTCCCCATGTCTCATTTTTATCCTTGTAAGTCATCTGAAAATAAGATTACCTTTTTTTTTTTTTTTTTTAAGATTTTATTTACTTATCTGACAGAGAGCACAAATAGGCAGAACAGCAGGCAGAGGGAGAGGGAGAAGCAGCCTCCCTGGGCTTGATCCCAGGACCCATGGGATCATGATCTGAGCTGAAGGCAGAAACTTAACTGACAGAGCCACCCAGGTACCCCTGAAAATAAGATTACTTTATTCTCAAGGTTTTATATTACGGAAAAGCCACACACACAGACTGACTTAGCCCTCTCATCCCAATCCAAGTTCTTGGGTCAGAAAATCTGATTATATTATCTTTTCCGGCCAGAGGTTGGGAGTCACATAGCACAACGTGGCTGTCTAAGGCCCCCCATGGCTCTAATGGGGGGATGAATGTGGTGTTCTTGACCACTTGTAATGTGATCTGAGAGACATAGAACTGTTTATTATAAGTATTATACAACTGTTAATAAAACAGCCTGACTCTTGGTTTTGGCTCATTTCATGATCTCAGTGTTTTGAGATTAAGCCTTTCATCAGGCTCTGAGCTGGGCATGGAACCTGGTCAGGATTCTCTCTCCCTTTCCCTCTGCCCCTCCCCAACTCCCCACATGCATGCGTGTGTGTGCTGTCTCTTAAAAAAAAAAAAAAAAAAAAAAAAAAAATCTTTTGAATTGGGAAATCTTTCTCAGTTTAAAGCAGAGAAATAAATGAAATTTACTTGAGATCACAGATTTTGTGTCTGTGCCTGGCTCCTTCAGACACTGGCAGTTGGAGCTAGCTAACTGCCATACATTCACTGGACAGAAGTGGGTACCAGTAAAAAAAGATCTAGAGGCAGGAGAACAACTTTTTATACATTATAAGATGTTTTCTAAGGAACATATCAGATTTGATATTTGAAGTTATTTAATATCCCTCTTGGCTGTAAAAGAAGACATTTATCTTAGCCCTTGCTTTTCTTTACATGGTTTTAGCATGTGTACTTTTACTCCCTAAATACTATATTATTTGATTTTATATATTTTTGAGCTTTGTATAAATGGAGTCATACTGTCTCCATACTTTTCTTCTGTGACTGACTTTTTTACACTGAACATTATGCATGTCAGATTTATCTGTGTCTTTACATGTGGTGAACTCCATTTTTGGAGTACATTTGCTGTACAGTGTGTATGGTGTTCCATTCTATAAATACATCCTAATTAATTTATTCATGTTACTGTTGATGGATATTTGGGTTGTTCCAGATAGTCTCAGCTACATAATTAAGAAGTGATCACCTAGGATCCATGATACTGGATGTTTCACATTTCTTTTAATGGAATTTTTATAGCAGACAGTGTCATATGTGCTGTTATATTTATTAATTGGTATGTATGAAAATAGTAAGAGTCTTCCAGTTTCCTCTTTCTCTTTGGCCTTGACCTTGCATTTTTGCTTGCAGCATAAGTCATATTTAGTAACAATTTTAAATGAAAGAACAGGATGCCAGCATCCTGTTTGTAGTCTCCCAGACCAAATCCTATGTTCCAGTGTTGCAAAGCGATATCTCTACTTATGGTACTGCTTCCTCCTCATAATGGTGATCAACCAGTAGTAGTCTGCACAATATAGATTTTGATCTGTATTTAATCTTAAAGTGTCCATATAATTTATTGGCTGGGGCATTTTTAAGAATGTAAAGGAATACATTGTGTGTCAACTAAACTCAAATAAAAAAAATTTTAAGAAAAAAATGTCAGGAACACTTAATTATGCTGGGGTACCAAGCAAAAACTGGGATTCTCGTTGGCGGTCTGGGAAGTATGGTCATCCTAATTTTATATCCGGTGTGCATTATGAAAAGTCAGTGTGGTAGGAGAAGCGTCCACATTTAAATATGTTTACATTAAAAAAATAGGTTTTCATTTCAAATCCATAATCAATGTCTTTTGTGGATTTGCTTTAATTCTTGTAAATTTTAAAAAACTTTTAGTATACTTTCTCCTCAGGATGATCGTTTAAGAGAACCTCTGCAAAAACTGAAACTGGCTGTTAGCAATGTGATGCCTGAACAGCTATTCAAATACCAGGAGGACTGCCAAGCTCGTAGTCAAGCTAAGTGTGCCAAGTATGTACCTCTTCTGTTTGGAGCGGCTTTTGCATTTGAGAAATATTTTTAGCTCTGAAGGATTGGTCTTACGTAGATGTTACCACCAAGTAGAAATCCACATGTACCACTGAAGTGGTGTAATTGAGTGTTTTCTAAATGACACAACGCTCCCCATTCAGTTGCTTTTGTGTTAAAAGCAAAAGGTCTCTTGATTTAGTGTATGGGTGTGATCAAAGCAAGAGCTGGCACTGGTCAGACATTTCACACATCAGCCAATTTGGCTGAAGTTGGACACAAATATTTTCTGAACTGAAATGTAAGTATTCATGGCCTTATGTTACAGTTTGAAGACCTTATATACCAAACCACCATATAACACATTTCAAAGTATTACATATAAGGTAGATTCCCCATTCACTTTCCCTTTTGAGTTAATATTCAGTTAAGCAGTTTAACAAGTGTCTCTGGAGCATATCATAGGCACTGTTGGGCTAAAACTCCGCCTCCTAGGACACCTGGGTGGCTCAGTTGGTTAAGTGTCTGCCTTCAGCCCAGGTGGTGATCCCAGGGTCCTGAGAGTGAGTCCCGAGTCAGGCTCCTTGCTTTGTGGGGAGCCTGCTTTTCCCTCTGCCTGCTGCTGCCCCTGCTTATACTCTTTCTCTCATTCTCTCTGATAAATAAATAAAATCTTAAAAAAAAAAAAAACAACTCTGCTTCATAAAATCTTTTTCATTTTTAGGTTGCAAACAGATGAAGAACGAGAAAAAAATGGATCCGAGGAAGATGATGATGAGAAACCAGGGAAACGTGTCATAGGACCAAGAAAGAAATTCCACTGGAATGACACCATCAGGTAAAATTTAACCAAAGCCTTCACTTTTAACCAAATAGATAATGCAGAACTAAGGTTTCTAATAAAAAGAATATATAGTAAATGAAAGAGTAGATTGGAAACAACCAAAGATTAGTATGTAGGAAAAATTCATTCAAAGGACGATTGATTTGATCCTAATATTCTTAGAGTGCTCTCACTTTTATTTTTATATCCTACTTTTTATAAGCTAATCTTCTAATAAGTAAGTCATACTGGTTTCAGAAGGTGAAGTACTCCATATACTTGTATAATCAGTCATCTTTTTTACCAGTATTTCTGTACCCATGTAGAGGGTTTGGCTACAGGACTATCCCTTTCAATCTTTGGTGCCTAGATGAAAGGTATCAAAGGAAATTGTTTCATATTGGGGATTTGGCTGTAGTGCGATGAGTGATGTGTGTTGGAAATCATTTATCTTCATGTCATCTGAATTCTTGAGATAATAGTCTTTATTATTGCTGTCAGATTTATGTGCTTTTAAAAAAATCTGTTTCAAGCTTAATTTTCCACAATTTTGCAGTCAGATTTATATATAAATATATATTTTTAATCTGTTTAGAACTTTGTTATGTAACCTTGTTGAGATCAAATTGGGATGCTATGAGTTAGAGCCAAATAAAAGCCAGTCCGCTGAGGATTATCTTAAATCCTTTATGGAGACAGAGGTGAAACCATTGTGGCCTAAGGGCTGGATGCAGGCAAGGTAAGAAATATGACATCCTAGATTTTACTTTACTTTTCTTATTATTGCTATTATTAACGATACATATATACGTATATACACCCACACACACATATATGACATTCATTTTGCGAAGAACCTAGTCATCTCAGATGACCTCTGCTTTGAAAACTTCAAGTACTTAAAAGACAAAATAGTCACATGGATGTGGAGATACAGAGATAGACATAAAGGGTGGTTTTTGGTTTTTTTTATTTTTTATTTTTTTGGCCAACTCCTTTTTCTTTTTTGCACCTAAATTTGCTAATAGAGAAATGGGAGGAGGAGAAGATGGTTAGGAACTTTGGGAGGGGAACTTCACATGGGTATTGTGAAGATAAGGAACTAAATACAAAATGGAGAGTGTAGAAAAGGCAATCCCAACCTTAGGTTCTGTTGAAAATAGTCAATGTGGAGTGGTATCTCAGAAGTTAAGAGTAGCCCAATTTAAAGTTTAAAGAGTTAAGAATGTTGAAATTAATAGATGTGGCTATCTCTGTCATCTTAAAGCATTCCATCTTCAATTAAAAAAAAGGTCTATTAAAGATTTAAATAAATAAGTGTGCTATAAAACTCCCCATAAAATAGATTTTTGAATTTACTCTGTGCCATTATAACTTTCATTTGATAAATAAGCAAGTAAGAGACTGCTGAAAAACCATGTAACTAAAACGAGAAAGTGGCTATCATGATCTGTTACACAAAAATAATCATGGCTTTTTAACTTTTGCAGAATGCTTTTTAAGGAGAGCCGGAGTGTACATAATCATCTTACTTCTGCTCCGTGAGTAAAACAGACTCCAGATTTCTTCGTTTATTTTTGCTCACCTTATGCGCTTTAGTAAACAAGGGCTGGTGAAATAGTACTTAAATGTACATTTGAACAATCTCCCATTTTACTACTGCCTTTAAAAAAAAAAAATCATTTTTACTATTTGTGTAAACCTGAGAACACATTTATTATCCAGAAAACTGAATGTGTGCTGGCCCAAGATTTGTTAGGTAGGAGCCATGTAAACAGGAAGGTTCTGATGGTTTCCTTTGGTCCTGGGCCTTCCTCCTTCCAGTTCTTTGGTCCTTTTTCTTTCTCTCTTAGTGACCATTAATGTATCTAACCTATAGCCTTGTGCATTCCAAGATGGTTTCCTATACATACCTACCCTGCCCTACCTTGCCTTGCAGAGTGTTTCATTCCACAAAAATTAACCTATTCTTCATTTCCTTCCCTTCTCTTCAAAACTGGGTATTTCCTTAGTGATGTGAGTACTAAAGAAAGGTCTCTTAACCTAAGAGGGAGAAGTAAAAAGCTGGGGGTTTTCGTGGTTATATTTTTGGGTGAATACTGGTTGACTTCAAGAATTTTATTTTTACCTACAACTTAGGGCTATTTCTCTGTAGCATAGAAGTATAGTAATAGTTAATAAAATATTAAATTAGTAATTTACTAAGAATTTATGGATCACTGTATTTCAGTATTCTAAGAGGTCTGGCTAACAGCTGGGTAACCTTACAGAACTCTCCGTCTCCTTGCATACAATCACAATGGAAATGTTTATAAGGCTTAGGAAGGACACTTCGTTAGCATACTGTCAGGGTTGTATTGGGTTGGTTATGGCTTTCAGTTCTTCCATTCTTGTTTATTGCTGGTGGTTTAGTTATCCTGGGGCAGGGGATACATATATATTGGTGTCAGTAATATTTCTGGCCTTTAATTTCCCCACTGTTATAAAATCACATGTATTACAGTTCAGGGTAGAAATAATTAATTCCTTGGGGCGCCTGGGTGGCTCAGTGGGTTGAGCCGCTGCCTTCGGCTCGGGTCATGATCCCAGGTCCTGGGTTCGAGCCCCGCATCGGGCTTTCTGCTCAGCAGGGAGCTTGCTTCCTCCTCTCTCTCTGCCTGCCTCTCTGCTTAATTGTGATTTCTCTCTGTCAAATAAATAAATAAAATCTTTAAAAAAAAAAAAAAAGAAAAAAGAAATAATTAATTCCTTTAAACCTAAAACTGATGTTTACCTAGATCCTCTTCCCCAGTTTTTTTTTTTTAATTTTTTTTAAAGTAGCTTTATTACTCTGATCAACTCGTGTTGTAATATCAGAAAATGGAAGTCAATGGGATATGTGGGCCCCAATAGTCTTTATCAAAAAAACTTTGAAAATTACTGTTGCCTTAATGAAGTTGTATATTGACCATTTTTATCATGATATTTGTTAATTTAATGGATGACATTTTCAACTTAGTGAAATGGAAGTACTCAGTGTGAGGTATTTTAGCTTGTTAACCCTTTAATTCAACAGACATTGAATACTTTCTCTTATTATGGAACTGTAAGGTTTTTTTTGTCTTCAAACTTTTTCACACTGCTTCCCAAAGGTTTCAAGGCTCCACAGTATTTTTCTTGCCTTTTTTTCTGTCATTTTGACGTTTTTAAATTTGAATTTGTATATTAAAATAATTTTCTCTAAAAACAAAGATTTGTTTTTAAAATGACATCTCATTTACAACTTCTTGGAGTGGTTTTCAAATTATGGTTTAATTTGAACTGAAAGTTTCTTGAGGCTTTATTTTCCTATAAATAATCACAAATTCTTGCAAGTTGTTTGAAGTGAGTTTCCTTAGGGAGCTTTGTTACCCTGTCTTGAGGGTTTTTGTTTTTGTTTTTAATTTTGAGCATTTACATTTAATTTTTAAAAAACCTTTGTCTATAATTGATATTTTGCTAATGGTGTGGCCTTTCTTCCAGTTGATTGAAATTGGAGGAAATGGTACTGTATATTCACATATAAACTGAGCACTTATATATAGTTCCTTCCTTCATAGAGTTTTCCAAATAGCATAAGAAGTTACTTACCCACGTATTGACAGATTATGTTGTAATTTCCTAATGGTGACCTAACTGGTACTGAAATGGCCTTTTTTTTTTTTAATCTCTTGTCTTAGGGCAAAGAAAAAGGTGATTCCTGCACCTAAACCCAAAGTGAAGGTAAGTATTGAACCAAATCTTAATTAATCATAATTGGGGAGTGTTGAAATACATTCTTAAAATGCAAAAAATATATGTATTTGGCACAGGTGGATAGATTCCATACTTTTAAGAAGAGTGTTTTTAAACTTTGTAAAAATCCTAGAACCATTGTATTTCAGAGAATTAAATTTTAAGAGTTAACCTAATATAAATTAGAAGTGTTCTATAAAATATAACAAATATCCTTTAAAAGCATAGTTGAGATTACAGAAATGTAAGAGAAATCCTTAAGGCCTGAAACAGAAGAAGCTGCCAGAGTGTTAATCTGTCACTGAAACTTTGGTTGCCTTTAGGTGCATTTGCTGATTTTCATCCATCACTTTATGGTTTATTTTTAAATTTCTTCTCAGACCACAGCAGATAGGGGTTTCTTTGCCTTACATAGGTTAGGAATTAGACTGAAACTCTGCATAAACCTGGGACTTTCAAAGGATAACATCTTTAGTAAAAGGAAGGACTTGAAAAAAAAAAAAAATCCATTCACCAGCAGAAAGATTAAGAAACTTGGGTGTCTTGGCCCGAGTTCTAGATTAGGGGAAGGAAGTCCTTCCTGAGAATTTTCCCTGGTTTAGGAGTTTAATTTATATTGCTTCTAGAAGATCTGGGAAATCCTCAAGCTTTGAAAAGAATGTAAAGGTATTAGATTAGTTATTAACCCAGGGCAAATGGCAAATCAAATTCTCTCTGGAATAATGCAGTTTCATCCCAGGCCCCAAAGGCTTACCACATATATACCATGTCAAATATGAGTTTAAAATATGAAAACACAGAAAACATGAGGAAATAAGTTGCTATGAGTGAGAGCCAGCAGAAACATCTGACAGAATTAGATCCCTGAGAAGGGCAAGTGATGGATTTATTAGGTTTAGAACATAAAGGAATTTAACTTGTTTAATATTTAAAGAAGGAGAAGAAGGGATAAAAAAAATACCAAATAGACAAAGCAGAGTTGAAAAAGAATCATGTATAATCTATAGAAGTGAAAATTATAATCATGTGAAAGTAAAATTATAAAGAAAGCCAGCAGCCTTTAGGTTTTAGACTTTCCCCATAGCTTTCATCTCTTTGAATAGATGAGTTTCTTGGCTTACGAGGTTATGGCCAGTAGGTCAGTATTTGTTACTCTGTGGCCTTCTTAACTTTTAGCATTAGAGGCTCTTTGAATACAGAGTAAATAGTCTTTTTTCTTACCTACCTCATTTGTCTTCTAATCCAAATAATAATGAGCCAGTATTTCATCACATGTGTTGAGTTCATGCTTTGCTTTGACACTTTATTTGTACACTCCTAATACTCTCCATAAAGTATTGGTTAAATTTTGGTACATCTATTCAAGCATATGTTTATCCGAATTCTAATAATGACTAGGGTGGTGTAGGGGAATTATCTATTTTGTTTGTGTCTTTGTGATTAAATTACTATTTCCTTTTCCCCAAATAGAAAAACTATATTGCTGATTTGTGTTTGCCCTACCACCCCTCAAATACCTATTTTAGTTACAAAGGTAATATAAGGAAGTACAGTAGAAAATGGAAATAGAGAAAAGTAAGAAGGAGAAAAGTAAAAGTATCCAGGAAAAAAGCTCTTCCTTTCTGATACACAACCACCATCTCTTCTTCTGGATCTCTGTCCTTGCCAGCCCTCCTTCGAGCCATCCAAACAGTCATTCATTTATTCAGATTTAATTACCGTTTTCTAAATGGGATAACCTGCTTTTTAGACTCATTTATATAATCTCTGGACAATTATCTCTGCTAGTATAAATTTATATAATACTCAGTAGGTAGATTTAACATTAGAAGAAAAAATTAATTTAGGGGCACCTGGCTGGCTCAGTCAGAAGAGCATATGATACTTGATCTCAGGGTTGTGAGTTCAAGCCCCACATTGGGTCTAGAACTTAAAATAAATAAATAGATAGATACATAGAAAGAAAGAAAATAAAAATGAAACCAGTTTATCCTTTAAAAAAAATTAAAAGTTACTTTAAAAAACAGTTTTCTATTGGTAGTGTTACCATTATTATTCCAGGACATTCCCCACCCTCAGTTTCTATACTTTATAAATAAAAATGGTATTTTCACTAATCATACTTGGATGGATGGCATGTCAAAGCAAACGTGTCTCATATGTATTACCCATTCATCTTAACAGACAATTTTGACCTTAATGCAGTTATACTACAGAATTCTGAGAGGTAGTGGAGTTTTCAGTCAGGGCTTTTAAAATAGCAGCTTAGAAAAATTGCTGAGGAAATTAGAGTTTAACAGCCTTCTTAACAGCTTCTTTACTGTAATACCTTAGAAGTGATGGTAAAGACACTTCCTCTCCATTCTTTCCCCACTATGGTTAAGGTAAGTTCTGTGGTTGTATAAACTGCTGTGGAATTCAAGACTTTGGGTTTAGGTTTACTTGGGTTTCTTTTTAAGAAACTAATCAAAGAAACTTTGAAGTGCTTTTTATGTAATAGTTGTATTTCTTCTTAATCTTAAAAATGACATGAGTCAAATTTATATTTCCCTTTTAAGGGAAACAACTTTTTCTTTTTTTTTTTTAAGATTTTATTTATTATTTGAAGAGAGACAGAGGACAAGGGAAGGAAGTGCAAAGAGAGGGAGAGCTCTGCTCTGAGCTTGGGGGCCCATGCAGGCCTAATCTCAGGATTCTGAGATGGGAACCTAAGCTGAAATCGAGAGTTGGAAGTCCAACCAACTGTTACATTAGTCCCAGGCACCCCGAAACAGTTACTTTTTAATTCTTTTGCTCTTTGAATATTTTTTTTTTTTGCTCTTTAAATATTTTAAACTAGATTCTAATTCTCTTTTCTCTTCCTTGAATTTTAAGAAACTTAATTTTTTTTGAAAAAGAAAATTCTCTTAGGTATTCAGAATTTTAATTCCCATAACCTTGTTTTCTTAGTGTACAGTACAGCCTTGCTCATAGTAGATACTTTAGTAAATATATGTTGAATAAATTAAAATGACCATAGTGAATAGAAGATATAGTTTAAGTATGCTTGTATTGAGTCCCAGTTTGAATGTACCGTTTTCTCTATGTACTGGCTATGGGTGGCTGTTGGACAGGGCATACAGAGGCAGAAATACAAGGAACAGAAAGTGTGGGTCAGTATCCCAGCAAAAACCATACTATGTTAGGAGGGTAGAGTCTTAGGATAAAGGCAGAATTTCTCCTAGGTACAAGGAGAATAAAAAGAGAATAGTCCCTGAACAGATGGATTTGGATCAGTATCTTATGCACGTGGGCTGGGGTGAGGAAGGATTTCACCAGTAATATATGCAAGTAATATATGAACGTTCCTTTGGCTTGGTTTCAAGTCTTCTTAGAAGAGCTCACTAAGGTATGGCGGCCGTGCAATGTATCAGATGCTTATGGCTTCTGAGGACAGTTCAGTCAAGAGCTCTGTCCTCAAAACCGTTTTGGTTTTTTCAGTCTAAAGATTTCCAGTAGAATTTTAATCATTGTGAGAAGTTCTTTGTCCTTTTAAGACTTATACTTAGTGGTTATTTATTAATCATTTAATTTGTTCCACTATAATGCTGTTTATGCTAGGAGTATAGTCCAAAAAAGGACCAGAAAACTCCTGCATCCTTGGCGGCTTCCGTTGGTGGTCCCTCGGCGAGCTCTAGCACATCTGCGGTGGCCTCTGCCAGCTCTAGCTCTACACCCGCCCAGGAGACCATCTGCCTTGATGACTCACTAGATGAAGACCTTTCTTTCCATCCACCTGCACTGGATCTTGTTTCTGAAGCTTTAGCTGTTATCAACAATGGGAACAAAGGCCCTCCAGCTGGCTCAAGGATAAGCATGCCAACTGCAAAACCTCGTCCAGGACTGAGAGAAGAAAAATTAGCAAGTATCATGAGTAAGTTGCCGCTGGCTGCTCCTAAAAAACTAGATTCTCCTCAGACCGCACATTCATCCAGTCTTATTGCCGGTCACACAGGGCCAGTACCAAAGAAACCCCAGGATTTAGCTCATACTGGCATCTCTTCAGGCCTTATCGCTGGTTCTTCAATTCAGAACCCTAAAGTTTCCTTGGAACCTTTGCCAGCCAGGCTGCTTCAACAAGGACTACAGAGGTCGAGTCAGATTCATGCTGCTTCCTCTTCACAGACCCACGTGTCCTCTTCTTCCCAAGCCCAAGTTGCTGCCTCCTCTCATGCTCTGGGAACACCCGAGGCCCAGGATGCTTCTTCGTTAACACAAGTAACAAAGGTGCACCAGCATTCAGCTGTCCAACAAAACTATGTGTCTCCATTACAAGCAACCATTAGTAAATCACAGACCAACCCAGTGGTGAAATTGAGTAATAATCCCCAACTTGCCTGTTCATCCCCGCTTATTAAGACTTCGGATAAGCCACTTATGTACCGCCTTCCCTTATCTACTCCCTCGCCTGGAAATGGTTCTCAAGGGTCCCATCCCCTGGTTTCTAGGACAGTACCCAGCACCACTACCTCCAGTAACTACTTAGCCAAGGCTATGGTGTCACAGATGTCCACGCAGGGTTTCAAATCTCCCTTCTCAATGGCTGCATCCCCCAAACTTGCCGCATCTCCAAAACCCGCCACATCTCCTAAACCCTTGCCCTCGCCTAAGCCTTCTGCCTCACCCAAGCCCTCTCTGTCAGCTAAGCCTTCAGTATCAACTAAACTTATTTCGAAATCCAACCCCACTCCCAAGCCTCCTGTACCCCCAAGCTCTTCCAGTCCAAATGCACTCGTAGCCCAGAGTAGCCACTCCAGCGGTAACAACCCAGTCCATAAACAGCCCAGTGGGATAAACCTCAGCAGACAGTCACCCACCTTGAATTTGCTGCCCTCCAATCGCACTTCAGGCCTTCCAGCCACAAAAAATCTTCAGGCCCCTTCAAAGCTCACCAACTCCTCATCCGCTGGAACTGTTGGGAAGAATAGCTTGAGTGGCATCGCAGTGAATGTACCTGCCAGCAGAGGTAGCAGCCTAAACTCAAGCGGAGCGAATAGGACTAGTCTCTCTGGGGGAACAGGAAGTGGAACACAGGGTGCTACTAAACCGTTGTCTACTCCACACAGACCATCCTCTGCCTCAGGGTCTTCAGTGGTAACAGCCAGTGTGCAGGTATGTATGTTACATACATTCGTGGGATGAAGTGTAAGATTGTGTGATCTTTCCTGTGAGTCTGTTCAGTAACTGTGCTTATGGGTTATCCCTAATAGCTTATTACAGCTTGTGGCCAAGGAATTTCCTGATGTTGACATCACAGTACTGGGGATAGTTGGTGGGTGAGGTTTATGTTGGGATGTGGATTTTTTTTTTCCCGGTAAAGTAGCACATACGTACTTCCGCAATTTTTGAAAAACACATAATGCATAGTTAAAATGATATGTTGTCAGAGTCCAGAACAAAGCAGGAACTTACGAGTTTAACATACCCTCACTTGTCTCCTTTCTTCCTCTCTCTAGTCCCCTTTCCCCTGCCAACTTTTTGATTTTTGTATTTAATCAAATTTGTACATTTATGGGGTTTTTTTCTTTAGCCATTTGTCTTCAAATAAACTTTTTATTTGGCATGAATTTTGCAGTTACTCATATATAATTCTTTATGTCAAATTACCATCAATAATCCTTTATTCCACCGTTTCCCCATTTTAATTTAAGTTTATCTCAGAGGGAGTGCCTCACTCAGAGTCTTTTCAAGAATGCTAACACATACCTATTTTACCTTAGCATTAGGATACCTGATCATTTCTGATTGTCACACTTAAGTATATAGACTTCTTGGGTTCATTAACTGTCTCCCTCCCTATGTTGTATAAATACTGTTCCGCTAAACTTTGCTTAGTATTGAGGATTATAGGAAATCTGAGGCCATTCCAATATTTGTTCCCTTATTTGTGTTTTCCCTGCCTAAATGCTAGTAAGGTTTTCTCTTTTTTGTTGAATTTCAAGTATTCTCGAATTAGGCTAGATTTTAATCTATAAGTTTATAGCTGGTGGCTTTTTCAGCTCAAGAATATTTTGTTCAATGATGTATTTCATTATCATTTCTGATCCATTTGCCCTAGGTTTGTTGAGAACTCTTTATCCTTCATATTTTGTCTCCCTCCTTTCCATGTCATCTTCTCTGCCATTGTTTTCATCTTTCTGCCACTCCCTGTATCCTGAGACTTGTCAGATTTGTCCTTCATGTGACCAGTTTGATTTCTTAAAGATTCTTCTTCCCTGTCCCCCATCCCAAAAAGTAATACATATTCACGGTAGGCAAATACACAAAAAAGAAAGTCCCCCATTCCTGGTACTTTTTTGGATTCTTGTCAAGAAAATGGGTTTCACATAATATAATATTATGAATAATAATATTCATAACAAGCTTTTAAAAAATACATAACATTTTATGATGTGTTCTTAGGTTCCAAAGTGTTTTTTGAAAACATGACTTTCGTTGATTTGTGGAATTCCGTTGTCTTAGAAAGTGTTCTTTTTACTGCTTCCTGTTGATGTGGAATAGGAACATCTAATGAAAGAATTTTTACCTTGGTGTTTATAGATGTTTTCTGCTATTGAGTACAAACTAAGCATTGGTATTCATAAACATATGAAACCCAGATCATTACTCTGCCATTACGGTAGGCTTAGTAATGAATTCATTTATTCCAGAACTCTAATATAAAACAAAATTCAATTAACTGGGGGCGCCTGGGTGGCTCAGTGGGTTAAGCTGCTGCCTTCGGCTCAGGTCATGATCTCAGGGTCCTGGGATCGAGTCCTGCATCGGGCTCTCTGCTCAGCGGGGAGCCTGCTTCCCTCTCTCTCTCTCTCTCTCTGCCTGCCTCTCTGTCTACTTGTGATCTCTGTCAAATAAATAAATAAAATCTTTAAAAAAATAAAAATAAAAATAAAATTCAATTAACTGATACTTTACTAGTTGGAATCTAGGACTCACTGATGTTTTATCTGTGTAATTTTACTTTCATCAGAAATGAAATGAAAAAAAAATACTGATTAGGGATTGTATGTTAAAATTTAAGTTATAACTAACGTCTGGAAGTTCACATTCCTCTTTGTATTACCTTTATTAAAATGTTGACCATGTTTAACGTTAATCCTCAGTTTGAGTAAAGGAGAGAATTATAACAGAAATTCAGAATTATAACATTCCTGCCACATGGGTCCTACTTCCCAGCATCAGTTACTTCTAATTCTCATAGCTTTTTCTGTGTTTTTAAATATTAAGAATGAATGGAAGTGGGACGCCTGGGTGGCTCAGTTGGTTGAGCAGCTGCCTTCGGCTCAGGTCATGATCCTAGCGTCCTGGGATCGAGTCCCACATCGGGCTCCTTGCTTGGCGGGGAGCCTGCTTCTCCCTCTGCCTCTGCCTGCCATTCTGTCTGCCTGTGCTCGCTCGCTCTCTCTCCCTCTCTGACAAATAAATAAAAAATCTAAAAAAAAAAAAAAAAAAAAAAAGAATGAATGGAAGACAATTTATTCATTTTACTATTATCTTTTCTTGTCATGATAAAGCTTTTAGCTGTTTTTATACCTTTGCCATTCTCCTAAAAGAATAAAACTACAACTTTTGGTTAAATCCATGACTTTGTAAAATATTGTCTCTGTTGAGCTAAATCATAAACTGTGGTTTCATTTGCTTTCTTATTTTAAGTTTTTGGCTTTTTTCCTCAAGAAAAATGCCTTTTTCCCCCCTTCACTTTGAATTTAACGTTAAATCTTTATCCTTTGTCATCTCCAGAGTCTCTGAGTTCTGTCCCCACCCTGCTGCCACCCCTCACCCTTCCCCTTCCTGCCAGTCCTTCTTGTATTTGATCATCTACCCCAGGAGAACCTAGATGCTTAGCATACCAATTCATTTGTCAGCAGGGAACCTATATGGCAAAATTTGTATTTCCAAAAAGTTAACTACTTCCTTCTGGTTTTCATCCTTTCCGAAATGACTTTATGCTTTGAAGGCCTTATTGATCCTGCCTTCAGATCTGATCCTTTTTGTTCTGTCTTACTGGTTTGACTGAAGAAAAGATCAATAATTGAATAAGGTTTTTTGTAACTTTGGGAGAACCTGTGGTTTTTGTTGTTGTTGTTGTTTTTGTTTTTTTAACATAGCCTCTCATTGAAACCTCTTGGTCTCTAGATCGCGTCTCTCTAAAACTCTAGCACTAAAAGAAGATTCCCTGTCTGTGCCCGTAAAACATTCAGCACCTGTCTGAAAGATATCTTCAGCTATCTGTTCATTTGCAGAATGAAAAGGACAGGTTTAACAGAACCTGTTCTGGGTTCAGATTATTACCTTTCCCTGCTTTGTATTTAATAACTTCCTGCTCAAGGCTTTCCTCTTCTTTCTTGCCCTTCAACTTAACTGATGTTCTGTGAATCCTGTCTTTGCCACTTTATAATTCCCAAAATAATTCACTCCTTAAGCAAATGTTTCTGAGGTATTTACTATGTGCCAGGCACTCTTCTAGGTGCTGGGGAGCTAGAGTAAACACCATACTCAAGGTCTCTTCTGTCAGGGAGCATATATTCTAGGTAGAAAGATAAAAACAAATTTTCTTTAAAAATGTTAAGTGTTATGAAAAATTAAAACAATAATATGGTAGAGTGTGATTGCTGCTAACATAGGTAAGGGAGTTGGGGACAGCCTCTTTCAGGTGATAACATTTGAGCTGAGAATTGAATAAACAGGCTAGTCATTTGGAGATAGGAGGGAACAAACAGTCCAGGCTAGAGAGGTGGTAGGTGTGAAAACATGGAGATAGGAAAGAGCCTGACATGTAGGTATGCATGTGACATGTAGGTATGCATGGCTGGACTAGGGAGAGATGGATAGGTGATGAGGTCTGAGATCAACCAGAACCATGTGATGAAGGACCTTGCAGGCCACGATAAAAACTTGGAGTTTTAATCTGTGTGCAGTGGGAAGCCATTGGAGGGTCTTCTTTGATTTATATTTCAAAATATCTCCCTGGTTTTTGTAGAGAATGGGGAGGTGGTTTTTTTAAAATTCTCTCTCTCTCTATATATATATATATGTACATGCATATATATATATACACACACACACACACACACACACACACACACACATCTATGCATAGATATGTAGAATGCCCACCACAGGAAGAGCATGGTTTTTCTTCATTATTTTCCCCTGGAAATGAAATATGTAGGTCATGGAAGTATTTTTGATTATGGAGCATTATCCTGAACTGTTTGCCTGTTTTTGGTTGACAGCTTCTCCTCTAGGCTTCTGGATGATATCAACAGTAGGATACCCGACTTTTGAAAGGTCTCCATCTTATAGGGAGAAATTTATGAACGTTATGTAATATTTAGATAGTCTGATGTTTCATTTTGGTTTTATAAACAAAAGTGGACATGGAAGTTTTTTGAAAATACAAACTGTTACACAATTACGGCATGACATCATTTTTGATCGCTCACTTAATTTGGAAAGTTGCCCTAATTTATATTTTCCAGCTATTTTAATACTTCACTTAGCCTTCTCCAGAAAAGCTGGAGTTCTCCTTCTTAGCAGTACTTACTGTTCCTCTGTAGGGGCCTCCACTTGGGGCACATGGTCTTGGAGTGTGTGCTTCATATTATCCTGAGATTACAAGAGAATTATGATTTAAAAATTTTAATTCTTAAATTGATGTAGGATCCCGTCTATCTAAGTTGCTTCAAAGTGTCCTTATTTCTAATTTAGTAATTCTTTCCAGTGAATCCATTTTGTATATCATGGTTGGCCCAGTAAGGGAAAGACTAGAAAATAGAAAAGTGGCCAAGTCCAAGCATAAAGTGATGAAGATTTGTACTTAAGTGTTGGAAGAAGTGGTGGTTAAAAAAAAAAAGAAAAAGAATGGGTATGTTGACAGTAAGTTCATCTTGTCCATTTTTTTATGATGTCTAAAAACTAAGGTTTTAAGCCCGGATGTCCAGAAAGAACGAGACTATTAATGATAGCAGTTGAGCTATAAGGTGGGGGTCACATGATTACAGGAGCTGCTGAGTTCAGTTGTTGATGAGTGTTCCATAGCCAAGTGCCATTCCTCCCTGAGCTTTTAGATTTACAGAATTGAAACCGAGATGAGGATGTAAATTTGAGAGCTAACAAAGGAAATAAAGGAAGGGAAGGCTATTGGAGAAAGAGTAGCGAAACCAGATTTAAAGCCTTCTGGAAGGTGTTCTTCATTTTTTGTTTAGCAGTGGCATGGACTGTTAGGTATAAGAAATGTATATGCTGTGGCATATATGTATGGGAAGATCACTTAAATTTTTTCTCATATATTAACTAAGAAATAAAATGATCAGCCCTTTACTAGTAATGTTTACTGATGAGGAGTGAGCACACAAAATAAACCTGATGATAGTTAACATCGATTACTGACTAAAATTCAAAGAATTCAGTATTCCTGACGGAATTTAGAAATGTAAAAATTTCGGCCAGGGAAACTTAGAATTGGTAAAATAAGACTACAAAAGAAAAGTCACAGTTGCACAAACTATCATAGATAATATCTGATACTGAGACAATTTTATTGTAATGTTAGTTGATAAGTACATGTAGAAAAGAAAGCCAAAATGGGAAAAGATTATTGCTGAATAGAAAATTGTTCAAAGAATTAAATTAGCTTAAGGAAGTGTACGTAAGTAATTTCTTAGGGAAAGTTAGTTAATGTTAGCGTATTTCTGATTTAAATGTACTTTTCTTACACATGGCATCAAAGCCCAGATAGAGGAGTGTTAAAACACCTTTTACTGTAAGGAGTCTTTAGGTTCAGAAAAGTAATGACATGGAAACCAGCTTTCAGGGGTTAAGGAGAAACTAAGTAATGTGGGGAATGGAGGGTATCATTTAGTAAATTTGATTAACAAAAGGAATACAAACAAGGTTGTTTCTAGGGGGTGAGGAACAGCCAGGAGTAACTATGGTTGTTTAAAGAAAAAAAAAAAAAAGATGAGGTCTCTGTGTATGACAAGGCAGAGGACTCTTGGAGAAAGATATAATACTAGATATTTGTACCAGAAAGTTCGGCATAGGAGGATTTGTGGCATACGTCAGATGGTTAGTTTTGGAGGAGAGGCAGTTAGAGCTAATAAAGGAAGAGGAAGAACATCTAGACGGCCTCGTTTCCTTAAGGTGCTATGATGAGAGCAGGGGTATTGTGTTACAGGCTCTGAGAGGGTCCTCATCTAGAACACTAACCACAGGAGTTGTATCAGGAAAGATGGTACAAAAAAAAAAAAAACAGTGAAATTACCAAGCATTTTCAAAGACCAAATTGAAATTGTTGTGGAATTAATGACCCGTGGTTCAGATGGAGGCCTTAGGAGCAAAAGTGGAAAAGCGGAAGTCTGAGGTGAGGTATGAATGAATGAGTGGTAATACAGGCTTTAAAAGAAAGAGTTTAAACTGGCAGCGAAGAGCCGAGTAGAGAATTCATTCCTAAACCAATGTGGGTGGCTCTTAGAAATGTATTTTTCACCTCAGTCTTCATTTTCTGTCTCCTAACGTTTCTGTTAGATAGAGGACACAGTCTTGCGCCCATAAGGATATTAAATAAAATAAATCAATTCAGGTTAAAGATTTGATTTCTTATGTATTTTGACCCCTGGTTTCTGCAGTCCACAGCAGGAGCATCATTATTGGCTAATGCCTCACCTCTGACTCTCATGACATCACCTTTGTCTGTAACAAATCAAAATGTGACTCCTTTTGGGATGCTGGGTGGCCTTGTTCCAGTGACCATGCCCTTCCAGTTTCCCTTGGAGCTACTTGGCTTTGGAACGGACACAGCTGGAGTGACAACCACCTCGGGATCTACCTCAGCCGCTTTCCACCATAGCCTAACTCAGAGTAAGTGGGGCTCTTTTAGTTACTGGGCTACCTAGTTTGACAGAGCAGGAAACCTCATGAATTTATTCTCATTGAGAGTAGTCCATGTGGAGTTAATGAAGATTACAGAATTTTTTTTTTTTAAGAAATGCAATTTATTTCATTTATATGTAAGTCAAATTACTGGAATCAGATTTTATTTACAGTTCTTAAAGGAACCATCTATACCACATTTCTATCTTAATGAAACTACTAATAAAAGGGAGTCGTAGTTGCTGGGTTATTTGCATACACATATTTTTATACATATAAATTTTTCAGTGTATGTGCTCTAGTTTAAGAAGGACTCTGAAGTCAGGGGCTATGTCGTACATTAGATAAATTAAATATTTTTATTTTTGATCTAAGAGGGCTCAAATCTTAGGTTGAAGATTACTGACAGGTCTGTTTTTCTCTCAGATTTACTAAAGGGTTTACAGCCAGGAGCTCAGCATGCAGCAACACTTTCCCACTCACCTCTGCCTACACATTTACAGCAAACATTCAATGGTAAGAAAGCCACCAGTTTTTTCATCTTTTAATATGTATATAGATTTATAAATTGGATTACAAACCTTTTCTGAAAACTGAATGAGATGACAAAGTTTGGAAAAAACAGATTTTCATATGACTAAATCCTTATTAACAACAAACTCCTTATAAAAAAAAGGAAATAGGTATGAGACCTTTTGTTACATGTGAAAAAAAAAAACCTTTTGAAGACATGTGTTTGCTCTATTGAAATGAGGACAAAGAAGAGGATTCCTTTAACAGTGTACAAAAGTCATGTCCAGTGATTGTAATAATTCATATGTATCGAAGGTTTACTAAGAGCCAGGTGGTCCTGTGACTACTTAATGTATTAGCTAATTTAATCCTTCTAACAGGCCTATGAGTGAGCTAATGACAATCCCTAGTTTTATAGATCAGGAAACTGTATTCGAGGTAAGCAGCTTGCTCAAGATGATAATCCTAGGAAGTGAGCTGAAATTCAAATCTGGGCAGTCTGACTTGACAGGCTGTATTCTTAACCATTCAACTTTTCTGCCTTTTAGCAGTGATTCAGTCTATACGATCCAAACTGTGTGCATTAGATACCTGCTGGCCAGCTAGATCTGTGTGAAGTCTGAGATTAGGGAGTAGACACTGAACATCACATATTGGCCTCAAGGTTCTTGCTTTCAGCAGCAGTAGACCTCGGTGGACTGTTGATACTATTCTTGAAGACCATTTTCAGGATCTTTTGAACAGAAATGACTGTTCAGCTTTGGGGGTTAACTGGGACCTCACTATTCTTTTTGGCCACTGCATTTAAAATGATCTTTGAACAAGTTTACGGTTGGCCACATGCAGAAGTGGGAGCTGTGTGGCAATCTCAAGGCAGCGGGTTATAATTAATTCTGTGAAAGACTAAGTGGTAAGCTGCCCCAGACTCAGCCCTTGAAAGAATGACTATAACTTTTATATAGTCTTTTTATATAGCATATAAACTGCTTGTAAAAAGGCCTAAATAGTAAATATTTTCAGCTTTGCAGGTCACGTAGTTTCTATCACAACTGCTTGACTGTGCCATTGTAGTGCAAAAACAGCTGCAGACAAAAACACCAACATAAGTGTGGCTGGGTTCCAGTAAAACTAGAAAGCAGTGGTGGGCCACATCTGGGCCTTTGGCCAAACCTTGGTCTAAAGAATCTCACAGTTCACTTAATATGAATATTTTATTTTGCTAATTTACCAATACCTCTTTGAGCATAGTCCTTCCTTGCCATTTTAGGAATTTAATTTTATACATCAGGTCAACATTATTGTCTCTATAAACACAAGCACATAATATCTCATTATAAATGGAAAAGCCAATTCCTTAGATGTCACCAAAATTATTTTAATAGTGTTCTGTTTATACAGCTTTTGAAACAATTATCCTGTCTCATTGATCTAGCTTTTCTTCAATAGAGGCAGTTTTTGTTTTATGTTTTACGGGAGTAATTTAGATATCCCATGAATGACCTAGCAATGTGACTTTCATGGTCTCCTCCAGCGTTAGGACAGATCTTACAGTACAGTAATTTTATTCTTTCTCACCTGTGTGCTTCAACCATTCATGCCTTCCCCTGACCTTTTCTCTCAGGCCTAGAAGAGGGAGGCTTCATTGTCCTTGCTAAAGCAGGACTTTTTTTTTTCTTTTTTAAAACATTCTGTTAGCTCTCAAGCTTACTGCGTCCTACTCTCGCCCAGTTTAAAAAGAGTAACCAACATCTTCCCAACAAAAGTTAAAAAGCCATATGTAAACCTAGAAACCATTGTTCGCAGGAGCAGACTTTCCTTATCACTTACAACTCTGGCCCAGTTAGGACCAAAACAAAAGCTCAGCTGGATTTTTGCAATGTGTTGCATTCATTTATGTAAATAATTGGGAATTCATTATCAAATGCTGTGTCATGGCAAGAAATTTAATTTCACTCACAGGAAAATGGAATTGACCTTGTCTTCTAAAGGAATTGAAAGATGTGGTAGGTTCCTTAAACATGAGGGTTATGTCTTTTATATTCCTTTATAATCCTCACAGCATTTGTCACAATCGGCTCTGAGGTCGATTATAAATACTTGTTGAAAATAGTATTTCAGCTGAAAACCAACTAAACCACAGTCACTTGAGATAAGAGGATCATTTTTGTTGAGTTAATTTATCTCCTTTATGTTACGTTTCTCAATCTAATGCTGTACCATGTAAGATATTAAAGGCTATCTTTTTAGCAATGTCCTTCACATGCAGATTAAAAGTTAATTGTTCTCTTTGTTTTATTTTTATTTTTTTTATAACATGCCAACCCATGCCAATTAAACACCTCTTTTCTCAGATGGAGGCCAAAGTAAAGGGGACACTAAATTACCACGGAAATCTCAGTGACTTCCCAGCAAGCAATGGAGATGAGACATTCAGCTGGCTGATGGAATCTACCTGATGGGAAAGTCCTCATGTGGTCATAGGGCTGCTGTTCTGTCGATGTTTACATTCTCTCGTCCCAAGCACTGTGGTGAGGAGGAAAAAAGGAAAGAGAACGTTACTTGAGTAAAGCCAGGTGCAGGAGGAAGAAATGCGTTCGTGCAAAGTTAGTGACCTTTGGTCTCCTCTAAAGAAAGACAAAGTTATCATATTAACTGACTTGAAAGAGACTCAGTTGTCAAACCCACAGAAGTACAAATTTGATTTTTTTCCCCGGGGGGGGAGGAAGAAGGAATCTGAGGATTTGGGTATACTCCATCCATCCTGGGGGTTGGATCTGAACACTTGTAGACATAATTGCATAATAAAAGGCAATATATCTGGAATTAGGCCAGTTTGTCAGGAGTAACAATCATGTCTATTTGAGTGGACTATGCAGCAAATTGCCACACAAATTTTATGACCCTGTGTCTGATACAGACAGTAGCTGAGTAAATATCGTATCCACACACAATCCTGAACAAACTTGAATCTTCTCCAGTGTGTAGCAACTCCCCGTGTAAATCAGTGGACTAAAGAGGCTTCAGGAAAGTTATTTTAGCACAGTGATATATATTATTAAATCATCAAGATTTTTAAAAGTCAAGAAATTGAGCCTGTTGCTCTTAACAGACGAAACTTAGATGCCCCCTTTTTGTAAAAGGGTCAATTTCGTCTTCCATTCAGAAGCAGGTACTTAACTCTTCTTCAGGTGATTTGTGCATCTGGTATTGACTGGTTAATTCTTATTTCCATTCTTGATGTTAAAATGTGGTTTTGTTCACATTTTTCTCTTCAGAAATGGGGATCTTTGACGTAGGGCTGCGACTTTGGTGCACTTAGCCCTTGCAGGCCTACCGCTCTGAACTGTAGATTTCCCCAGCCTCCCCTCAGTTCACGACTTCTCCTGGACTTTTAGCTAGTGGTACTTCAGGTGATATAGACAGGTGTAATTGTGTACTGCACATGCCTCTTCATTGGTCATTCAAATGGCATATATTATATTTTTGGAATTTTTAAGATAGTATTTTAAAGGGAGGAATTACATTAGATCATGTGTACAAGGGATTATTTTTTATAACAATCACAATGTATTTTTACTCCCTGTATCCAGTGTAGTGAAGTGGATTTGGAGCATTTGGGATCTTAAAGCTTTATTAATATTTACTGAGAATATTGATACGTTAGTAAACCTGCAGACAGTAGTAAGACTGCTTAGTTATTATCGCTTCCTTATGCAAATACATATTCAACAAAGGATGTTAAGGGAGAAATTTATGGTTCTTTTTGGATACATTTGATTTTTTTTCATCATCATCGGTCTTGTCTCTATCAATCTCTCTCTCTCACTCTTTTTTTCTCCCTATTTAGACTTCTGAATGTTTTTAAACCGTACCCAAGATTGGTGTAAGCTTGATCCGTTTATAACAGACTCACCTAAAAAACGGCATCAGATCGGTAGTAGCAAGATTTGCATGTTTTCATTACAAGTCACCCTATACCTTTAAATTTATTTAAATAAGTGTATTAATGTGGCCCTTTTTTCCTTTTTAAGCAAAAGTCCCAAATAGCCTACAGGACTGGATGAGTCACCACAGGTCTGTTCAGATCTGTGGTACCTGTATTTTGACTTCAGAGTCACATTGGCTTGCTTCATAGCAAAAAGTTAATAAGTAACTGAAAACTTTATTTCCAAAATGTTACAGTAAGGCAGAGGACTGTTTCAGAGGAATCATTGCTACAATTACTTGCCTCTAAGAATTTAGTTTACCAGTAGAACAAATAAGAATGTTTTGTCCACCCCAGAGGATGCTTCCAAAGGATGTTGCGATGTTGCCTAGAGGTTTGACTTGAATTGAATATGTTTGATTAAAGATTGTTTGGTTTATTTAATTAGGGAAGCTTACCCAATTCTTGAGTTATTCCAGTGTAGTATACCTGTTGCTCTTATCTAATTTGGGGGAAAAAAAAAAGTCTTTGCTAATACTGTATAGGAGTTTGCCTTTGGGAAGCTGACCTTGGTCTCACTTCCCAAACCACGAGTCCGAGTGCATATTAATCTCTCTTCCTGCTGATAGTTGTGCACGTGTTCATCTGTGTGTATACATAAATTTATTTCTATATAAAAATGCATCACTAGTTTAAGTCAGGGAATAATTTCAGTTTCTGAAATCCATCAGTTCTGAATCATGCCATGTGAAGATCCCTGATGATTCTTTTGTCTCCGTTAGAGAAGAACAGGATTATCAATTCTTCCCCTAAGTATTATTTTGTAACTAACCAATAAAAATATCTGGAGGCCCTTGGCTCCGAGAAGTCCATATACAGGGAGATGAGATTCTATTCTCTTCAGTCTTGATTCCGTGAGGACTGCTGCCAGATCCCGCCCTCAGCCCCATACCACATTTTTGCTAACTTACGTCCATTTCAATCAAGTCTACCCTTTTGTGTTGTTCAGATGAAACAAGCATCCTTTTATTTCTAAATAGATAAGTATGATCAGAGAGCTCCTACCTGTAAATACAGAACTATTTCTTTTCTAGATCATAACATTGAAAATGGTGTCCATACTTTACGGGCACCTGTCTTTACAGTTTTTCTTACTAAATACAGACATATAAATTGGTTATTTTTTAGCCCAGAGACTTGTGACTCACACTGTATTTTTGCACTTAAAAGTCAAATTATGTTATTTTTTAAAATGGTGAGTAATCAGAAAGGATATAGAGCAATGTGTATTTCCGAAGAGCATTAGCAACATCCCAATGCAAAAATAATCAGCACACTTAATTATGTCCCACTCGGCGGGACTCTTGATTCAGGAAAATTAAGCTGTTCGTTTTCAACTGTCTTGTATTTAAATTGCCTTCACTGATGTATAAGCTGTTACTGTACATACAAGTTAATCCTCAGTATTCACAAGCAATAACGGTCAGCAGAGTTGTCTTCAGAGACAGCCGTGCTGAGCCTCGGTTGGAGACTGTTTGGGAGCAAAGTGTCAAGCTCATTCAGAGCCTCCAGAATCAATGCAAGCAATAATTCCACTATAACTCAATGATAATTCTTTCTCATATGCTTCTGAGATCAGAGGGTAAAAGAAATCAGGGGTTTGAGATCAGCCTGAAGAAAAACGTTTGGGAAAAAGAAGTGAAGTTAATCTGAAGTCGCAGAATCCTGATATTCTGAGGAAATCAGAGGCTCGTGTTCATACATTCTTTTATGCCTGCCACCCCTTTGATGGATGTTGTTAGCCCAAATTACGTTTTTTTTAATATCACAGAAGTTGAGTAGGGTTTCTTGCATCACCAAGATAGGAGGAAGAACCGGGCACATACTTGTTTGGATACTGTGGGTTTGACACCTGTTGAAAACAACTTACTGGAAAAGATTTTTAACCCAGGATTTTTTTTTTTTCCCTTCCCAAAGCAGATCTAAATTGTTTACTACCCAGGGTTGGAAAGGGCAGGCCCCTCTAGTCTTTCTTCTCCGGTTGCCCTTACCACACCCCTTCCTGCCTCTACTTGGTTCAAGACAGTTTCTGAGATGGAAACTTTACTGTTATTCAAACTGCCATTGATTGTGAGAACTCTCTGTCCCTTGGGACAGTCTCCTAGAACTCCAGTTGTCTATCATATTTGCTGCTACACTTGTATAATGAACTTTGCCTGTATTGGTCGATTATAATCTGATTTACAGTTCTTTATCTCTAGGAGGTTTTGTCATATAACTTGACCCATACATAGAGTTAGGATACTTTATTTTAGGAGTGTACCATAAAAGCACACTGGTCCCGAATTCTTTTTATTATCATGTAGGTTTTGAATTTGTGTTGGCTTCTTTTTTTGTTTGTTGCTGTTTTGTTTCTCTTTGTTTTAAATTAGAAATAGCAGAGTGAGAAAAATCTATAATCAGGCCAAACTTGAGAACTTTCCCTTGTGCTTCAGCACTGTAGTTTCTGCTGACCATATGTTCTCAAAAGGGGCACTTGTACTTTCTATTGTGCATGTATGATTGTTTTGTTTTGTTTTTTTGCTTTTGTAATAATGAAACAGAAATGCAGTAGTGGGTAAATGACCGATTACAAACATGGTATGCAATTTTATTTTATAAAATTGAAGGGGAAAAGTTTAACTCTGTAAATCATTTCTTAGCTCTGGTAAAATGCTTATATTACTCCTCCAAAACATGCTCAATTCAGGCCTTTGTCTTTGTTAAGTGCCTTTTTTTCTTTCTTTTTCCCCCTCTTAAAAGTGTTCTCAGATATCCTAAGTACAGGCTTATAAGTCAGGGGATTCAGGAGGAAGAATCTCAAACTTGCCAACGTCATGTCATGCTGTAATATTCTTCCTTTTCTTTATATGTATAAGGATATATGTGTAAGATACATAATACATATATATGTGCATATATATGTATACATATGTAATATATATATATATATATATAACTAGTAGCTGCTGTACCATTGCATCCTTTCCAAACACAGCCCTTTCGATGTTTGCAAAACTTCTGGCTTGTTTATTCCATTGCTTTTAGTCAATTAAAATGGGTAGATTGGGAAATTGTCTTTACACAAGATGCTATCTTCCCCCTTTGAATATCTGTTTGTAGACATTAACAAAAATACATAAATAGAATAAGTCATTTATTTCAATTTAAGTAAATTTAGTGGACTCATTGACTATTCCTGGATGTAACCCACTGCTCTCTGCCCTTCAGACTTGGCATGAGTAATCCTGGAGAAAGCATTGGAATAACAAGAGTCTTTAGAGGGACAGGTTGATATAGGTGCACTGTGGCAGGCAAGCGTAAAGACGCGGGGGAGCCAGAGTTAGGAGCTCGGTGTTCTATCTGAGTACGTTTTGAAGGAAGTTACCAGCTTTGTCCACATGCAACGTACATCGTATTTTCTTCTGGAAAATGATTTTCGAAGAATTCATACAGCTGCATATCTGTGAAAAGGTTAATAAACTTAGACTTCAGATACTCACGTAAACACTCACCTAACTACAGCATTCTTGAGAGATCTTCGGTTTTCTTTTCATTTGCCAGATAATTACTTTTGGCTTCATCTGATTTTACGGCTGTTTAGAGTTCTCCCTGGAGTGCAATAGCATAATCTTCAGTATCTGAGATTCATCTGTTCCTTGTTGAAAACAGATATGACACACAAAGGGAGACTAAGCTGAACCAATCCTCAGAGACCAGTACAAATATATCTAATAAGTGCCCCCTTTTAAAGACATTTTAATTGGGAAGAGGAGACTGGTGATTAACGGAAAGCAGCGGCTCCTGGTAGAGTCAGCGGATAGCGGAAGCACTATCAGGCAGCCTCAGCTCAGACGCGCTACTCTGGAATCACTGTATTTAACAGGGGGAAGATCATTTAACCTTCGTGCCTCAGATTACCCATTAGAAAATTGGGTATAATAATATTCACCTACCTCCCAGGGATATCAGAGACTTTACTATTTCAAAAATACTTTGAGTTTTTCTAAAATGTCCTATGTAATTAAAAAAGTATTACCATCTTTCCACAGAGGCTAAAAAATGTTTCCCTGTGATGGATATAAAAGTACCATATGATTTTTAAGTTTAAAAAAAATCACTGGAATTCTACTTTAGATGCATATTATTTAAACATATTTGTGGTGGGATTAAAATGGTTAGTTTCAGGTTAACAAGGGTTCGGGGGAGTAACACTAAGTTTCTTAACTATAAGTAGGGTTTGTTTTTTTTTTAGCCTTTTATGATGTTAATACACGTGTGATTTTTGCCAAGGTTGTGGAGCTACAGCTAGGTAAAGTTTGGATGATTGGTTTATTGGAGTTGATAAATGATCCTGCAAGTTTTAGCTGCCTCACTTTTCCATCTTCTCAATTTAATTTCCTTATGTCACTTGTCTGGTGATGGACAGCCAAGCTTTTAACCTTCGAGGAATGAATGGGCGGCTCCTCGTCCTTGTACATCAGAGACTGTGTACTAATCCTGTCACTACAGGTCTATCCAACTTTGTGCCGTCGGGGCAAGCACTACACACAGCTGGGTAGACACTAGCCGGTCTACCTTTGTGTAACTCCGGCTTCTTCCACCCATTAAAGAGTCAGAGCCATCCACTGCTCAGGTTGTAGGAAAATGGGAGAGAGGAGGCAGGATTCACTTCTTAGCTGGGACGTGAGGTGGGAAGGGGAAGGGACAGAAGGAAGCATGTTTTGCCCATCTCTGAAAAAGAAATGAAGATCATTTTATCCCCCTCCCATCCTGGCATGTTAGGTAGTGATACTTAGAATTTTCCTTTATCGTTTCAGACAACAGCAACAGGAAAAAATGGATGCTGTGTTTGTAGTTAGTGCTAAATGCTAAGCAAAAATTATTAGAGAGTGTGTGTAGATTTAAGTTACAGCACATATTCAGGGTCAGGAAAGAGAATGTAGAGGATGAGGAACAAATTACCCAGCTCAAGTGAGTCAAGAGAAAGCCCCAGGCCCAAGCAGACAAAGCATCTGTGTTAATTCCCACAATGGGCCAAGGCCCATTTAATCTAGTGATAGGATGTTTTTGTCTTAAAAATCACCTTTTGGCTTTTTATTGCTTTTTTCAAGATAACGCCTTAGTTAGTAACCTCTAAATATCAACTATGCAGATAAACATACTCTTTATTTTCCACATTTTCCCTCTTTTTTCCATTCTTCAAATACAACTGTTAAATGACTTCTACCCAAAGAAATAAGGCATAAGGGTTTTGTTGAATGTGTGTTTGTTCCTCTAGAGAAAATTAACAGAAGCATAAAACAGATATTTTGTGTGTTCATCTATCCTGAAATGTGAACTTGATATTGAAAAACTTAAGTACAGATCCTTTTACTGGTGCAAAACTGTAGCGAGAATCATGGAATGTCTTTGGGTTGTTAAGATGAAATCATCCCAGTGTTCAGTTCTGAGAAAGTTCTAGATTCTGTGGCACAGTGTTCAGGTTTGTAGAGCTGAACAGTTGGTCAGACTCTAATTAAAAATGGCTTTGAATATTTAATGTTGAATTCCTTTCCTCCTTCTTCTTACCTCTAGTTTGAGCTCTTAAGTTAACCATTTCATCACCCAGTTGCTAAGAGTCCCGAGAGGAAAGACTAGACTTTCACTTCTTTTCTCACTCACTCTGGCGGTCTTTCCTGGGTCTCCACTGCATTCAGAAGTGAAGACTGCAGGCATAGTCCAGGACACTGTTCCTGTCCTCACACAGACTCAGACAGGGACTTGGTGGAGGCTTATCATCAGACTGCCTTTGAACAACTTTGAAATGAAAAATTAACATTTTTCTCAGATACTCCCAAAGTATCAAATTGGCTTGAAAGTAGCTATTTGTGATCTTTATTTAATTTCTTCATACTGTTATTCTTTAACTTCTCAGTCTTTCTTACATATTGCCATTTATGGTGAACCATTAGCAGTTTCCCAAACTGTATCCCAAACAGGTCAAGGATACTTTCAGAAACCTCAGTAGTCTAATTAAAGGGGTCTCTGTGTCCAGGATTTGGCATCAAGTTCACTGGTGACTGGAATTGTTTTTTTTTTTTTTTTTTTTTTTTTTTTTTTCTTCTCCCTTGTATTAAAAACTAGCTTTCTCTACTACTATACCTTGTGGTTGCTACAATTCATGGCTTCTTCTTGATATTTTTCAAGGTTATTCAAATGAGATGCAGACCTTTGCTAAGGGCTCTTATTTCTCATAATACTCTGCCTTGCTTATTTTCATATCCTTCCCCTGGAATAAACCTGCTTTGCAAAGGTCTGCGTCACACGGGCCATATAAATTCCTAGAACCAGTTTTATGTTCCTCAAAAAACTCTGTACATTATTTGCTCCCATTTTGCTAATGATAATATAATTCTATTTTATCTTAAATCTAGTTTTAAAATATTTTATAATAGAGCACTAATGGAAACCTAATTGAAATACAAAAAAGATAACTATTACTCAAGATAACTTGGAAATACTTCTGTTTTTGAAGTTAACAACTCCATCTACCCTCTAAGCACATTTAAGAGTCAGCCGTAACCAAGACCAGCCAGTCGGCATGTTTTTCTGTGACAACCTGCCTTTAATTTGTCAGACCTTACCTATCTTGTATTTTCTGTCCTTGTGGCCATAACCTTTCCTCATTTTTTTTGCTATTCTGTGCTGTTCGCAAGGTTAGTGTGCCCTGGACTGGCACATAAGAGTTTTTCTTTCCCATACTTGCCAAACTACCAAGGATTACCCTGATTTTGGCTAGGGGCACTAAAAGACAAAGAAGTTATTCTCAGCTGATAAAATCTATTGCTGTTTTATATAGTTAGTTAGAAAGTTGGCCATCTTTGGCCGACTTTTAAAATCCTGGCTATGCCTACATAATTAATTACATATACCATCTGAGACCTTCCAATAAGCAAGGGGCCTTTTCCACCAGCAGAGGCAGGTTTCCAACCTATAAATAATTTCCTCTGATGTACATCCAGCCACAGAAAAGATTCAAACTTTGTATTGTCCTTTTGTTGGCTGTCATTAAAAAATTATAGAAAGTATCAAAAATCTCAAATTGTCCTTAAGAAAGGTATGTTATCTGGGGCTTGCTCTTGTGTTTTGCTCACAAAACATTGTCAAGCTTAAAAGAAAAGGAAAAGAAATCTCTGGCTGGTGAGAATTTTGTGCCCCAAATAATATGCTAATCAGAGTCTACCGAGGTAACTAAGTGATGGGTGTTCTCTCTCTTTTATTACAAGCAAGAAAGTTTATTTGCAGTTGTAAAATTATGGTGGGACTGCAGATCTGTTTGCTATAACCAATTGGGAATAAGGATTCTGATTTTTAGTCTGGGTAAGCACATATTTCCAACATTTGTGGTATGAATTTTGATAAGGGAAAGACTTTTGTGTAGTAACAGAAGGAAAAACAGGACTTAACCGATACAGTGAACGTTCACTCTCTAGAGGAACTTCCCTCCAGGTACACATCTTCCTCTTTAGCCACCTCCACACTTGACAGAGATGCCAGCATGTTCCACAACCGATCTCGAAGGAAGGAGCCTAGAGAATTGCAGCTCCTCTGGGTGAAGGGCGCTCATTGCTGTCTTGCATTTGTTTATAGGGAGGTGCGTTTTTGCCAACTTGAAGGGATATACTGTATTTTAAATAAGTGTGTGACTTAATATTTTGGGATTTTTTTTTCCTCCTTTAAAACTGGACCTGAACACAGCTTTGAGTTAATATTTGTAATAATCTCAGGACCTGAAAGATTGTAGCATTTAGTGTGTCTTAAAAATTATGTACTGTACCAGCCATGGATTTTTGTAAATATACCTGTCTCCCTTTTTTGTATTA